ACAAACACTACGGACATTTTAGCTTATTCATTTGACCTATACTGCATGTCCTTGGACTGTGGGGGAAACCGGAGCACCCGGAGGAAACCCACGCAAACACGGGGAGAACAATTTCACACAGAAACACAAACTGACCCAGCTGGGGTGTTCGAACCAGCAACCTTCTTGCTGTGAGGCGATCGTGCTACCCACTGTGCCACCTTCAAGTAGTAGTATCTCAGTCAAATATTATCCAATCCTAACAAAGCATACACCAATGGAAAGCTTATTCACGTAAAGCTTAGGAATTGACACTTGTGTAGTCCAGGGTCGCAAAAAAAATTAAGATGTCAAGAACTTAGCTGTCCCTTCAGTAACAGCTGCAATCACATCTGGAAACCAGCTGTCTGTCAACTACGATTTGCCTGTGCGTTTTATTTGTTATGAACTTCATTTGATTCACCCAGCAGGCTCAGGATGTCAACATGACATCAAATTGACGTTGTACCCCAATGTCGTGGGACTTTGCATTTTGTTTGGAAATGAAAATCGGGTTGACATCAGAACCCAACATCAGGTTGACATAATTCCGATGTCGGACAGATGTTGCGTTTTGGTTACTTTCCAACCAATATGACGTCTATCAGACGTTGGATTTTGATACTTGACGAATTAATGTCTGTATTTGATGTCAATATGATGTTGGTTTAAGATGTTGGCTCGACGTTGGATTTTGGTCACTTTCCAACACAACCTAAAATCAACCAAATATCACCATCTAATGATGTTACAGCTTGAAGTTGTGTGGACATTACCACCATGACAGCTATCAGATGTTGGATTTTGGTTGCCATACCTGATGAATAAATGTCTGTTTTTGATGTCAATATGACGTTGGTTTAAGATGTTGGATTTGGCCACTTTTAATGCGACCTAAAATCAACCAAATATCAACGTCTGATGATGTTACAGCTTGACTGTGTGGACGTTACCACTATGACGTCTATCAGACGTTGGCTTTTAGTTACCATACCTGACAAAATAATGTCAGTATTTGACGTTGATATGACGTTGGTTTAGGATGTTGGATTTCGGTCACTTTCCAACACAATATCAACGTCTAATGATGTGACAGTTGATGTTGTGATGACGTTACCACTATAACATCTATCAGATGTTGGATTTTGGTATATTTTGCCATATACTTGTCGAATAAATGTCTGTTTTTGATGTCAACATGACGTTGGTTTAAGATGTTGGATTTGGCCACTTTTTAATGCAACCTAAAATCAACCAAATATCAACATCTGATGATGTTACAGCTTGACAGTGTGTGGACGTTACCACTATGACATCTATCAGACGTTGGCTTTTGGTTGCCATACCTGACGAAATAATGTCAGTATTTGACGTTGATATGACGTTGGTTTAGGATGTTGGATTTCGGTCACTTTCCAACACAATATCAACGTCTAATGATGTGACAGTTGATGTTGTGATGACGTTACCACTATAACATCTATCAGATGTTGGATTTTGGTATATTTTGCCATATACTTGTCGAATAAATGTCTGTTTTTGATGTCAACATGACGTTGGTTTAAGATGTTGGATTTGGCCACTTTTTAATGCAACCTAAAATCAACCAAATATCAACATCTGATGATGTTACAGCTTGACAGTGTGTGGACGTTACCACTATGACATCTATCAGACGTTGGCTTTTGGTTGCCATACCTGACGAAATAATGTCAGTATTTGACGTTGATATGATGTTGGTTTAAGATGTTGGCTAGATGTTGGATTTTGGTCACTTTCCAACAGAACCTAAAATCAACTAAATACCAACGTCTAATGATGTTACAGTTGACGTTGTGTGGACGTTACCACTATAACATCTATGAGATGTTGGATTTTGGTATATTTTGCCATATACTTGTCGAATAAATGTCTGTATTTGATGTCAACATGACGTTGGTTTAAGATGTTGGATTTGGCTACTTTTAATGCGACCTAAAATCAACCAAATATCAACGTCTGATGATGTTACAGCTTGACAGTGTGTGGACGTTACCACTATGACATCTATCAGATGTTAGCTTTTGGTTGCCACACCTGACGAAATAATGTGAGTATTTGACGTCGATATGATGTTGGTTTAAGATGTTGGCTAGATGTTGGATTTTGGTCACTTTCCAACACAACCTAAAATCAACTAAATACCAACGTCTAATGATGTTACAGTTGACGTTGTGTGGACGTTACCACTATAACATCTATCTGACGTTGGATTTCGTTGCCATATACTTGTCGAATAAATGTCTGTATTTGATGTCAACATGACGTAGGATGTTGGATTTGGCCATTTTTTATGCAACCTAAAATCAACCAAATATCAACGTCTGATGATGTTACAGCTTGACAGTGTGTGGACGTGACCAATAGGACATGTATCAGACGTTGGATTTCGGTTTCCATAACGTCAATATGACATTGGTTTAAGATGTTAAAAATGTTGCCTCGATGTTAGATTTGGTCACTTTTCAACCTAAAATCAACTAAATATCAATGTCTTACGTTGACGTATCAAAGTTACAGCTTGACATTGTGTGAACGTTACCAATATGACGTCTATTAGACGTTGGATTTGGTTGCCATACCTGAAGAAATAAAGTCAGTGTTTGATATCAATATGACGTTGGTTTTCGATGTTGGATTTTGGCCACTTTCCAACACAACCTAAATTCAACCATAAATCAACATAATTTCACATTGTTATCGGATATCAAATTAACATTGTCCATAGACGCTGGTGACCTAAATCAAACTTAATATTAACATCTTATAACTTTGTGTGTCTGCTGGGCTGTTTGATAGACTCAATAATTGAAGTGTTTGTTAGCAAGAGGCATTTTTGGTTGGTTGTTTGCTCTCTTTTTGACCTAAACTCTGCAATATGAAGCATCGCTGTATATTAGAGAGCGCAAGGCTGCTGTAATGTTTTATCGCCCGTCCGCATCATCTGTGCAGTTGATGTATCGTCAGACTGTCAACTCTGGCATAATAACATTGACGTTTCTTACTGTCGTTTAATCGAACGGTGTTAATAGCTATGCTACAGATATAGCTGGAAGCATTACGAGGCTGCATAGGTTTGCTGTGTAAGAGCTGCTTAACATTCGGTCTAACTGTGAATTCTGAACTGATTGTGATGAGATTTCCCTCTCTGAAGGCAACCTCACAAACCTATCATGAGCTCTTCCAATGTTCCACTGTAAAACTTTTCTTTATTGGAAAACAAATATATTAGGGGACGGGATTATTTATTTCTTTTATTTTGTCATATTTTTGTAAGAATTGAAATGGGATAATAAACAGATTTAAATTTATTGTTTCACTTGCTCTTTTTTTGTCAGTTTAATGTGTATGAACAACTGCATTTATTTTTGATGAAGCTGCGAAGCAAACTTATTGTCTTGTTGATATAACTGTTAAACCATCCCCGGCCACTTTATTAGGTACTTACTAGTACAAGGTTGGACCCCTTTTGCCTTCAGAACTGCCTTAATCCTTTGTGGCATAGATTCAACAAGCTACTGGAAATATTCCTTAGAGATTTTGCTCCATATTGACACGATAACATCAAGCAGTTGCTGCCGATTTTTCGGCTGCACATTCATGATGCGAATCTCCTGCAGAAAATGAGACTCATCAAGACCAGGCAATGTTTTTGCAATCTTCTACTGTCCAATTTTGGTGAGCCTGTGCGAATTGTAGCCTCAGTTTCCTGAGAGGTGTGGCACCGGTGTGATCCTCTGCTGCTGTAGCCCATCCGCCTCAAGGTTGGACGTGTTGTGCGTTTAGAGATGCTCTTCTGTATATCTCTGTTGCAACAAGTGGTTATTTGAGTTACTGTTGCCTTTCTATCAGCTGGAACCAGTCTGGCCATTCTCATTTGTCCTCTGGCATCAACAAGGCATTTGCACCCACAGAACTCCCGCTCACTGGATATTTTCTCTTTTTCAGACCATTCTCTTTAAACCCTAGAGATGGTTGTGCGTGAAAATCCCAGTAGATCAACAGTTTCTAAAATACTCAGACCAGCCCATCTGGCATCAACAACCATGCCACGTTCAAAGTCACTTAAATCACCTTTCTTCCCCATTCTGATGCTCGGTTTAAACTGCGACTGATCCTCTTGACCATGTCTACATGCCTAAATGCATTGAGTTGATGCCATGTGATTGGCTGATTAGATATTTGCATTAACGAGCAGTTGGACAGGTGTACCTAATAAAGTGGCCGATGAGAGTCAAATCAAAACAGCCAATCAAATCATACTGGGTATTAATTTAACATAGCCCTTTTTTAACATAGACATTTTTTTCACTATATTCACTTGATTGTTTCCTTAATGACATTCTAATGCCTGTTTATTTTAATAAAATGTTTAATTATTTTAATTTTAAACTAAAATAGTCTATACATATTTAATTATGTCTTAGATACTTTTTATTTAAAGAATATTTATGCATTTTGTCCAGAAATGTCCACTTACCTCTTGCACTTCATTTTGCAGTTTGTTGTAAAATCAACTGCTGCTTATTGAGTGTGTGTGTGTGTGTGTGTGTGAGAGAGACCAAGAGAGAGTTGCTGTTTTATCCTAAGATTTTGATTGTTAAATGTACAGTGTATTCTGATCTATTTTTTTTCTTGATTTGTATGACTAATATAATAGATTGAATAATATGATATATTAAATAATAATGTGCTATATTGAATAAGATAATATATTATTTAAATTTAATTACATATAAATATCATATTTTTCCTACAACCTACCTGTTTTTTTATTGTATATGTAAGTTACTTTTTTATGTAAACTTTATAAATACTTTGGCAATACATTTGTAATGACAATAAAGCAATTATTGAATTGAATTGAATAGAGAGAGAGAGAGAGAGAGAGAGAGAGAGAGAGAGAGAGAGAGAGAGAGAGAGAGAGACAGAGAGGGACGCACGCTTGACAGTCTGTGAGCGCTAGCAGGAGCTGAGCTGCTGAACTGTCGCGTGTAGCTGCTGTTTACTTCAGTTTCTCGTTGTTTTCGCGCAAATATCTGTATGTGTCCCTCCACACTATTGTCATATTGAGTTGTGTTTGCTCTTTCTGCTTCAATCCTCTGATTTCTGTCAGACTTCAGGCCTGTCTGAGCACAAACACACCTTACAGGACTGAACTGACTTCACCATGGACAAAGTAAGTTTCTCCACTCACAATATAATATTTATCACGTCACACTTGACTATAACTGCTGTTTTACATGACTGATCGCCGAATATCATCTTAAATTGTAAATATCCTATAAGATTTTTGTCATTTTTAGCTGACAGGCTGCTTTCTGTGATTGAGTTAGCATGCTAGGCCGCTTCAAACACCCATGGCTACTTCATAGCCACTTTCCTTAGCACAAAAAGCCTGAAACAAACCTGTAGTCTTTATAAAGACATATAAATATTTTATGTTATGGTCATTAGTCATTTTGGTGTTTGAATGAGCATTAAATAACCCCAAACATGTCATTTTTTATGCTAATGTCTGCGTTAGCTCGTGTTAGCATGCTGAGAAGCGTGAGCCAGACTCGGCTAAGCTTTTGTTGAACAGTCACGACCTGCATATGTGTGTATATTTATTTTATCCCTGTCGTATTGATCACTCGTTTTTAAAATGTCTTGAATGGAAGATTAAAAAGGCGTGTATTCTTCTCACATCTCGTGGACTGGACTGGCAACGCCCAAAGGTTGACATGCACCATCCTCTATCTGGATTTGAGTTTACTCACTCAGCAAATGTTTGTGGTGCATATTCATTTGTTTAGATATATTATTAAGATGGTTATTTATTATTTATACATTATTATAAGTGTCATTAAGATTCCTTCTGTCATTGGTGCGTCATGCTTTTCTCTATGCTTTTCTGACTACTTAAAATCTGTATGATGGGTGTAATGGTTGGGCAATTATGTCATGGATAATAGTACAGTAATGGTGTATCTTTATCTAATCGGTCAGTAGATCTCTAGAGCAGTGGTTCTCAAAGTGGGGGTCGGGACCCCCCGAGGGGTCGCGGGGCAATGAAGGGGGGTCGCCTGGTGATTTCCAAAAATCTATTTATTTTTATTAAACCATAAGAATTAACATATTTTATCCATAACTATACTGAAAATAAAAATAGTCGTTTATAGTTACTTTATACTATATAGTTAATATAGTAGCTTATAGTTACTAGTTCTATTGGATTGCAACCCCTGGGGTAATTACATTATATTAAAGGCAGCAATAGCGTCAGATGCGTTTTGATTTTATAACATCAGGTTATACTTTCTGGCACATTTAAAGCACTGACACAAATTTAATTGGTGTGTCTGCGTCATTGCATGCAAGGTTTCTGTATTTATAACCACCTCAGAGGATATTGGGGGTCGCGAGTCACTGGCATTGTTATTTTGGGGGTCGCGGGCTGAAAAGTTTGGGAACCCCTGCTCTAGAGCGTGAAAGGAGGTATTTGGATTTATGGTATAAAACAGATTGAGGTTTTATATTCACTCATTCAGACTTTTACCTTAATGTAATTTCGGAAAAGCCTTCATTGCCAATTCTAAATCGTCAAATCATATTAGCAGGTAGTGAATAAAGCATCACAGTCAAATAAATAGTGCTAATGTTGTTTTTAAAGGGCACCTATGATGAAAACATCTTTTGTAAGCTGTTTGGACAGAACTGTGTATATTGGTATAGTGTATTCACAGTCAAATTGGGGTGATATAAACAAAATAAGTCTCTTTTCTTTAAATTTCCTGATGTTAAAATAGGATCCAAATCCCTCAAATCATCAACCACCATCAAGTGTGATCAAGAATGAGTTTTACAAGTTTAAAATGTTTTTAAAACGGTGCTTATCTGTAATAAATTAAAGACGGTTAATTTGCTTTTATTTATCATCACAACCGCTTGTCAGTACAATTATAATGGATGACGCTTCAAACCCATTCAATAGAAGATACATCAGGTTTATTTTGTACATTAACAACAGCGATCCATACTACAGTGGATATTAACGTGTATCCTGTCATATTTGCCAGGCAAATTTTGTGTTTGTGTTTCTGTCTGTGTGTGCGTGAACTTTGTATTGACATTGTATGTGACTCATCTAAAGGCCTGAATTTACTCTACAACAAATACATCAAATAATCATTGGGAAAGTTTTTATTGTTGTATTGTCCACAAACATTACGTGAGATCTGCTTCCTCCATGTCTGTCACTGTGCTGTTTATCTGGAGCAACTTAGGCAGAGATTGAAGCACATTTTGATGCTGCGTCTACACCAGACATGGAAGAGCACAAGTGATTTACTTGTGAAGTCAAGATGCGAATGAGAAGGCGCGAATGACGCAATTCACGCAAATGAAGGGGCACAAGTTGAGCGCTTTGCAAGATTGACTCACGTTTTGCGTGAATCGCTTGAGTTGGAAAATCTAAACAGAAGCAGACATTTGTGCCGCGCGAACCAATCAGGAGCTTTCTCTTATAGGGGCCTGCTTATGACGTAGCGCCTGTTGTTAGTGTCCCTGGGGGGAAATCCTCCTGCCGACATCGAACAGCAGTTGATCAAACTGGGCTCTGCTCAGTCAGAAGCACCTTTGAAAGTGTTCATGATCCAGGTTAAATTTCTGGATGAGTTGATGAACTCAGAGCTGCCGCACCTCTGAAAGGATCTAGTGGACTCAGACGCGGCTCCGAGCGAATCGCCGCTGTTTTTCAGCCTTCACCAAGCACATAAACAGTTATTCTTTCAATAAAAGCCATGTTAACCATTTAGCAATGAAGCTAGCTATCTATAGCTATAGCGTCTATTGTGAAGTGAATTTTCTGTGTGAATGAAGCGAGTAAACTCAAAATGTTCATACTGCGTCTGGTGGGAACACAGCATGACAGGCATGTGGGAACGGTGGGCGGGAAGAACTAAAATTAAAGGCACAGGCCACAAAAACAGCTACATAGTGAAAATTTCCATGTTCTGAAAGGCATAATAAATAATCTGATAGTTGTGTTGAGACGCAAAAGATTGTCTTAAATCTTGAAAAAGGTGTAAAATAGGTGCCCGTGAAGTCATACTTGCATGTAATTTCAGTCTGAATATTCAAAGTACCATAGTAAACATTAGAGACCATGGCACAGAATAAATGTGCGAATATAAAACCAAATTTTCCTCAATGTAACTGAAGAATAAGTGATAAAAATTGAATGTGACAAAGTACTCTTAAATGTTTATGCATTTTTTGTATATTTTAAATAATCATTTATTTTAACCTCTTTTTTTTATCTCTGAACACTTTGAAGGCAGATTTCTTGAAAGGACTACCAGTGTATAACAAGACAAACTTCAGCAGATTTCATGCGGACTCCGTATGCAAAGCATCGGTAAGATTTATCATCCCAAATAATTTGGTTTGCAGGGTTCTCATAAGCATCATCTTTTTAAATATTCAGTGAGCATCTTCACACTGCAACTGTGATGTGTGTTATTCAGGCTTTAACAGTCCCTTTTTTCTGCTTTACAGAACAGAAGACCGTCAGTGTATCTGCCTACACGAGAGTATCCCTCTGAACAGAGTAAGCGGGTTTAAATAAAATGTAGACTCGGATAATAAAACTCAAAGTCTTTACACCTGTAGTTTCAGTCTGAAGCCTAATTTTAGGTTGTTTCCCTCACAGTCATCGTCACTGAGAAGACAAACATTCTTTTGCGTTATCTTCATCAACAGTGGGACAAAAAGGCAAGTGATGTTTTAAATGTAAACTCATTTCATAACAGAATTCCAAACCTGAATATCTGATGTCTTCCCTCTAGTGTGATAAGTATAGGAACATTTAACATTCTGCATGTTAAATAGTTTTTACTTGTGTAACAGTAATGATACTACTGAAGAAACTCTACAAACTAAGGATAATATTAATTACTTAATTAGAAACGCATCACTATATTACTTAAAGGTGCATTAGGTGATCCAAAATGCTAACCGCTTAGCATATTATCTTTGGACGGCGGGGAGGGACTGTGATTCAAAGCCACACCCCCTGATATCGCGAGCGCGCGGACCGCGTCACAACAGCCGACAGACAACCCACCAGTTCATGTCATTCGCCAGTTAGTTAGTGCCAGCGCCGTGCAGGAATTACATGTATTACTTTGCCACACTTGCATGCTATTTCAGAGCAACGTTAGCGGTTAACAGTATAGGAAGGCTGTCATTGTTCAAAAATGACCCAATGTGAATATAAAAGCAACTTCAGCTCAATAAAGCAGGCTAGGCGGAATAGCGCTATTTACTGGTGTTTTGTTGTTAAACTAAATATAAATCTACATTATAGATGCTGTCAAAGAACCTTATGAAACTGAAAATAATCACATCAATCTTTCACTGGGAGATTTCAGTGGCTGAACAACACGTCTGTGCATAGAAGACATTCATAACAAGACACAATCTAACATAAAATAGTTTCAAAACAGAACATTACCTGTCTAACAGTAATACTTCAGCCATGGTGTCGTCCTTCCTCCAGCGTGCTAAAGTAACTCCAATACTGATTCAGGATTTTCAAAAGTTTCAATGCAGCATTTGATTTCTCCCGGTCCGTCTCGTGAACGCACGGCCGCTTTAAGGGCGAATTATACCCGTGCCTGGCTGTATAGTAATCGGCCCGAGCTCGGCTGTCCTTCGGCGCCTCCGGCTCCGACTCGGCATCTGCGAGCGGCCCACAGCTCGCTTGCGCGCATGCGTTTGTGATGCAGACGGGCACGCGCTAATGGCGGATCTGTTTGAACAGATGCGCAGAAGTCGGAATCTACATTTGCTGACAGACAGTCTGACCTGCCTATCGGAATTAGGAGGAGATGACGGTCCGACTCTATTTAATTGGATGAACTTTTTTTGTTTTATGCTTTACCCTGAATATAAAAATACATAATAATATAATAACATAATAATATAAACACATTTAGATCATTTTCTGTAATCATTACTATTGGACTGTGAAGAGACTTTCAACCAGCACAACAACAAATGTTTCTGAAGACAATCACCTACTGCACCTTTAAAGATGTACACTCTTTATTAGGTACACCTGACTTGTACCAGGTTGGACCCGCTTTTGCTTTCAGGACTGCCTTAATCCTTCGTGGCATAGATTCATGAAGGTGCTGGAAACATTCCTTTTTGGCCCATATTGACATGATAGCACTTTGGGATGGGTTTTGTTAAGGTTTTTATGGTATTACTACTTTTAATGATACCACTTATCGGTTTGGTACTTTAACGGTTTTCTTATCGGTACTTTTTGTAGTGTTTTTTTCTTTTTCAAACTTTTGCGTGTAATGATATTTAGTTAAAATGATTTTGTGTATAATCTTCGACAGCTCCCTTTCATTCACTGCACATGTTAATAATGTCACCCGGTCCGCTTATTTCCGCCTTCGAAATATAAATCGTTTACGTCCTTCCCCCCACACCTCATTCAGCTGCCGTTCTTGTTCATAGTTTAGTCACATCCTGTTTAGATTACTGTAATTTTTCTTCTGTTAGGCCTCCCTAAAAAAACTCTTCATAATTACAACTGGTACAAAACGCTGCAGCCTGTATTATCACAAAAAACCCCTCTGTCTGTCACATCACACCAATTCTACAACAGCTTCACCGGCTTCCCATCTTTTTCAGAATTAATTATGAAATACTTCCTCTTTGAAAGCCATCCACAATCTCGCTCCACCATACCTTGCTAATCTTGTTCATATCGCCACACCTTCTCGAACACTCAGGTCTTCTTCTTCCATTCACCTCACTGTTCCATCTTTCCGCCTTGTCACCATGGGGAGCAGATACTTCAGCCACTCTGCTCCTCAGCTTTGGAATTCACTTCCTTCTGATCTCCTTGATTTAGACTCTCTTTCACATTTTAAATCCAAACTTAAAACACATCTGTTTAGAACAGCCTATTCTCTTTGACCCGATTGCATTTTTAAAGTTTGTATTGTACTCTATTGTTTATATTGTTTGAACTGATTGTTCTAGCTGTCCTGTACGGTGACCTTGAGTGTCATGAAAAGGCGCCTTTAAATAAAATGCATTATTATTAAAATGAAATGAAAAACTTAACAGAAGATCAGCATTTTCAGCCACCATCATGAACTATCTACTGCAACAGCCATGATTGATCTTCACTGGCAGGAAATGCAGCTATTGCAATGATAAATTCAACTTTTTTTTTTGGTTTGTTTTTCTTCCAGAATGCAGCTAAAAAGCGAGAGCAGGAGCAAGCAGAAGGGGAAGGTGGCAGTCCAGCACCTCCACGCAAAATAGCCCGGACAGACAGCCAGGAGATGAACGAGGACTCGTAGAGCAGCCCACAATCCAGCAGCACAAGAACGGACACAATAAGCCCAAACACCCGCACACACCACACAGGAATTTCATCTCGGAAAGAAAGAAATGGAAGAACACTTGTCTTACAGTGTGCTTTTTTTATTTTACTGAGTGCTTCCTGATGCAGTCAGTGTCCCTCACCCAGCACGTCTGCCCAGTGCTGAGTGTGTGTGTGGGATTGGGGGGGGGGCATGATGGGTTTCCACTGCCAGCTTAAAGATTCTACTGAACTCCGAACTGCTGGGCGAGGGGGGCGGGTACAGCGATATTCAACAAGCACATAATGAGGAGTGTCTGTTATGAAGAGGCGTGTGAGAATTATCATTTGTTTAGAATCTATTGCAGCTTAAACGTTTAAAAACATCCTAGTTATCTCCGCTATTGCTTTCATGATATGCTCCGCCACAAGCGCTCAACGCACAGGGTCTCTCTTTAAGGGAAATTACGGAAATGTACAGCCACGTTCGGCAGGATTAGATGTAGTGTTTTTGTGTTGGTAATGTGACGATCTTCCTAGCAGGTGCATACTTGTGCATGAATGCACTGCTGGGACTGTTTATCTGTTGTCACTGGTTGAGGATGACATTTTTGATGATAAGATGAAATGCAGATAGTGACCTACAAACGTCTATCCCGCTTACCCCTGTTGTCATTTAAGCTTGTGTTAGTTTCAGCAGTTCTGGAGTCAGACCTTGAGACGCAGATCATCGACTTAATCCGTGTGCGCTGATTCATTTGCGGATCTGTTTGGCTTCTGCGTATGATGGATATTTCATAGGTTTGAGATTAAAAACTACTACTTTTTTTATATATATATTTGTTTCCTGAGATTTAAGGTGCAACTATGCAGTTCCTCTCTTAACCTGCAGAGGGAGTCGGTGAGCTGTGGTTGTGGACGATCGGCCTTTACACGTGGGGCTTAATACTTTCAGCGTGCTTTGAGTCCACAACATACCCGTAAATACTGTTTTCACTGTGGCTGGAGACTCATTTAGTAACTCACAGTTAAAGCAGCTGTTTCCTGGCTAAATGTGTTGGTTTGTTCTTGTTGAAAAGATTGACATGTATTGAAGCCGTCGACATTGACAAAAAAAAAAAAAAAAGCTTGCATGTATTGAGGATTTTTGGAGATGAGGAAGCTTTGGGAAGCTGTAGTAGAGGAGCGTGCAGAGAGCAGCCCGTCTAAATCTACCTGAAAGAGGCAATTGCAATTACATCTGTGTTTGTGTGTTGTTCTTACGAAGCCTTCCCAACTTCAATGTTCAAGGTCAACATTTTTTTCAGAATCAAAATAAAAGGAGATAAACATTTGTGTTGTGTCAAGAACGCTTCATTTCGATTATTGCGAATATCTTGTAGACAATAGATTAGGGTTGATATTGGAGAGGCAGTGGCATGTTTTCAGCGAGGCTGTAACAGCATATGCTCAACAGGTGTAATCCGCTTTAATCTGGACTTCTTACTGTGACCATGTTGGCTTGCACATTTGGAAAATAGGAGTGAATGAAAGGCAAAAAAAAAACAGGCCATTTTTGATTTTGTCATTTATTTTGGGTGTCAAATGATGTCTGTGAATTACCTCTGAAGGTTTCTTTGTGTGTGGGAGAGATTGTTTTTAGATTAGATTATTGGATTGACGGTAGCAGATTACCAGCGCGCTATTTCATTACAAAGGAGGAACTGGAGGCAGCAACCAGCTTTTTCATGTATCGGGAACATTGGTAATCAGGTAAGATATTTCACTATGCACTGCGTTCAGTTTACTGTTTTTTTACCTATATTTGGAGAAAACCTACATGGCCAAAGCCAAGAGAGAAAGCATGTATTTACACTGCTTTTTATACGTATTCGCTCACATCAGTTACATAATATATAATGCAACTGATTGATTGATAGCAACTGAACTAAATATCTTTCATTATGTCTATTAAATTAAGTTTGGATGTCATTTCTGGAAAACAAAAAAACTAATAAAAACCTGTTGAAATATTTACATCATTACTTTGCACTGCTAATATGGTACAAGACAGTCTTAAGTAATGTATTTATATAGACAATTTTGAGGGATGTAAACGATAACAATGGTCCTGACACGTTTCCTGTTTTACATTTTAAATTTTACTAGCTTCTGAGAGTCCAAAAAGTACCACATATTGAAAAATAATGTTATGATAGCTGTTAAAACATCAAGATATGATTGAATCGCCTCTTGTCACAGATATAGTTTGACAACAAGCAGGGAATGAACATGCGCCAATGACATGACCACATTGAAATGGTCTATTCATCTACTCAATACTTTAAAGCAGTGGTCACCAAACTTGTTCCAGGAGGGCCGGTGTCCTGCAGATTTTAGCTCCAACCCTAATCAAACACACCTGAACAAGCTAATCAAGGTCTTACTATGTATACTTGAAGCATCCAGGCAGGTGTGTTGAGGCAAGTTGGAGCTAAACCCTGCAGGGACACCGGCCCTCCAGGACCGAGATTGGTGACCCCTGCTTTAAAGCTCAGTCAGTGTTTGACTGCTCAAACCTGGCAATTTAAGCAGAACATATGCAACCCCCTGGGGTGGACACCAAAACACTGTTTAAGAGCCCACTGAGGAGAAATGAAGCTTCTTAATAGCTCTATGAAATCTATAGTTTTGAAATGTTAACCAAAAGGCAGCAAAATTGACAACCAGATTAACAGACAGGACTGTTTTTACAGGTTCTGCATGTTTGAGAACGGATGAAATGACTACACATTTGAGCTATAACCCATTCGTGCAGATGCTAGTAGGACCTAACAATGTTTCTATGAGTCATGTCGAGTCTAGGCCTATTCTTTTTGGGAAAAAAAAGGAAAACGTTTGTACTATTTTATTTTTTGAAGCACACTGAAAAAAAAATATGTCTGTTTTCTATTCTCTCAACTCTATTTCTTGAGCACTTTCAACCAACCACAATGGGTACCAAAGTGCTGTGCATAACTCATAATACATGCAAACGTAGAAGAAGCCAACGTACATAAACTTACAACACACAATTAAAAGCTAAAGAAAATGTGTGCTTTCAGTGACCTGAAAAGACTCCAAAGTTGGAGAAGTTCTTATGAGGAGTGGAAGATCTTTCCAAAGTCTTGGAGCAGCTACTGAAAAAGCTCCATCACCTCGACATTTTAAGCGGGATCGTGGAACTTGCAAATAGAGTTGATCACTAGAGTGAAGAGATCTCACAGGTTGGTGTATATCAGGGGTCACCAACCTTTATGAAACTGAGAGCTACTTCTTGGGTACAGATTAATGTGGAGGGCTACCAGTTTGATAAACACCTCTTTAATAACAAATTTGCTCAATTTACTTTTAATTATACTTTATGTTTTTGGTAATAATAAATAATATTCATCCATGTGAAGACACTGATCATGTTAATGATCTCACAAAAGTTATCAACAATGATTTAACAGGGTAGGAAATACCCTGTATTTAATATATCATTTTTATATATCTATGCAAATATTTACATTTTTAAATGATTACTTCTATTTTAGATGAAGCTTACCGGTAAGTGGCACTATGGTGAGCTATTTTTTAGAACAGGCCTGTGGGCAACACATGAGATCCTCGCGGGCTACCTGGTCCCCACGGGCACCATGTTGGTGACCCCTGGTGTATATTAATTAGTTTAGAAATACACTCAGGGGCCAGGCCATGGAGGGATTTAAAAACCATGTAGCAAGACTTTGTACTGAATTCTAAACTGGATTGGTGGCCAGCGTAGGGAAACCATTCATTCATTCATTTTCTTGTCGGCTTAGTCCCTTTATTAATCCGGGGTCGCCACAGCGGAGTAAACTGCCAACTTATCCAGCAAGTTTTTTTTTTACGCAGTGGATGCCCTTCCAGCTGCATTCCATCTCTGGGAAACATCCACACTCATACACTACTGACAATTTAGCCTACCCAATTCATCTGTACCGCATGTCTTTAGACTGTGGGGGAAACCGGAGCACCCGGAGGAAACCCACGCAAACGCAGGGAGAACATGCAAACTCCACACAGAAACGTCAAATGAGCTGAGCCTCGACCCAGCGACCTTCTTGCTGTGGGGCAACAGCACTACCTACTGCACCACTGCTTCGCCCTGTAGGGAAACCAGTACAGGTGTAATGTGTTTTATATATATATATATATATTTTTTTTTTTGTGCCTGTTAAAAGCTTAGCAGCTATGTTCTGGACCAGCTGCAGTCGCGAGAGAGAGGCCTGACTTACACCCAGATACAATGTGTTTCAATAATCCAGACAAGAAGGCATGAACAACCTTCTCCAAATCACTGAAAGAGAGGACAGACTTCAGCTTGGCAATAGATCTAAAATAGAAAAATATTTTTTACAACCCCATTAATTGGCGATCAAATTTAAGCTCAGAGTCAAAAATGACATCAAAGACCTTTATATAATCCTATGTATATTCTATATATTATTTCTGCCTAAAATCTTGCTCTCTGTGTATTTCTAGATGTCATAGCACTTAGGGGAGAAGGAGGACGAAAGTACAATGATGATTTAGATCAGGGGTAACCAACCCTGTTCCTGGAGAGCCACCTTATTGCAGATTTCAGTTGCAACCCATATCAAACACACCTGAACTAATTAATTATGACCTGAGCACCATGTGATAATTACAGGCAGGTGTGTTTGATATGGGTTGCAACTGAAATCTGCAGGAAGGTAGATCTCCAGGAACAGGGTTGGCCACCCCTGATTTTGACTGAAATACATTTGTACTGTTATTTCGAACTCATAAGTGTGGCGCATCAGTATTGCGTGGTATTTTGAACAAATGTAGAACAACTTCAAAATCATTTCACTTTCAGCATTAATTGCACATTGTTTCTCTTGACCCTGTCAGCAGGGGCGGAAGTAACACAAACGTGGGTCAAAATCAACACAGCAATATTTGCTTGTTTTACTGGCGAAATCTTGTTTATTTTAAATATATCTGACTTTGACCGTGCTAATGTGAACTGCAAACATATTTTGCCTTTATTGTTGCAAAAAAATATTAAACAGCATTTTCAAGTTTCAGCTCAAATGTTTCAAAAGCAACCCAACAATGCAAAACCTTTTTCTGCAATTATTGATTATTATTATTATTATTATTATTGACAACATGCATTCATTTTATAAAACATAAATCAAAACACTTCAACCACTTCCTAACGTGGAAGTGAAAAATAGGGTTTGTCTGTTAGCAGTGGGACATGAATAACCGTGTTACTTTCATCCCCACAGGAACTCTTACCATTTACACCTGATTTACTTTTAAACTGAGATACTCAGACATTTCAAACTCAAGGATGTGTTATTGCAGTTAATAACCTGCAGATTGATCATTAGTGTAATGCAGGAAAAAAGAAACATAACTCGTAATAGGGAAAATTTACTTTCTGCTCTTAAAAATGGAAATTCAGGTCCTGAGATCAGCTGATATTTGGCAGCTCCATCAAGAGTTGCATGCTGAATGTGCTGTTATAGCCTGGAAAGCAAATGTCAGGGCTTTGAGTAAATCGCTTTTGTCCCACGTTACTATCGTCGCCGATTTCCCCTAACATGTTTACCCAAGTGAAGATGGGTCGTTTTAGGTCAACACTTAACTTTCTAACATTGACACTATATTAATACTCTATAGTTTTCTATTCTAAAAATAGGTCAAATATGTTTTGTTATGTATTAATCTAACAGGGACTCTGCTCTTTAGCTTGATTATTCTCATTTGTTGCACTGGATAAGTGTCTTCCAAATGATTAGTGTAACTCTAATAGTGTAAACTTTATTTAATATTGAACATGAGAGAAAATTACTATAGGGTCGGCGATTGAAAGTCACATTCGTTTCTGAGACGTTCAATTCCCAACTAGGCAACCCTACATTCTAAAAATATTGCTTAAACCAAACAAAAAGATGAACGCAACAGTTTGCATTAATATATTCAAGTTACAACCACATCTAACAAAATGAAGTTCAGACAACAAATTTTATTAGGTTAGCCAAATGACCTTTTTCTCTTCAATTAGGCATTTTTACATAGCATAAACTCCATTTGTCAAGTTGAGTACTCAAAAAATGTAGTTTTTAAAGTAAAATATAAAAAAACCCAGTGTTGTGTACTTAATTATATGCGAGTTTTCAACCTCAAATAGCTGAAAATGTTTAGTTTTTTTGTTTGCTTTCAAATTTACTGTTCATTTAGTTGCTTGTATGAAATACATTTAACAACAACATTTTTGTTTTCCAGTAATTTTTTATTTGTTTTAAACAACAGATTGTTTTACAAAGCAAAAACATGTACTGCCCCATATAAACTGTATGAAAAATAACAAAAACATGGACTTAAAAATACAAAACAACCCTATTGGTGTAGAAAAATTAAGCTATCAACTCAATCTTTGGAGGGTTGCTACAAGTTAAATATTGTTTTAAACTAATTGACAGATATATTTACATTTAAATATGCCGCATTTTTAAGTTGATGTAATTTGTAATAAAATGTTTTGAAAATATAATAAAATTATTCTGCCAACTTACAAGTTTTAAACTAATCAACAATTTAGTATTTTTAGGTTACAACAATGTATTAAGTGAAGTTTATTCATAAACTAATTTCGAGAGGATCACATGCTTATGATTTATCACGGCCAGTCTCGCATTTTCCAAACATATGAGCCCTAAGCTACTATAAATAGCCTCAGTTTTCAGTTCACTTTATCTTCGTTTGGAAGAAACCCCCCTCCTCCCCTATTCTCCTCCTTTACCTGTGATTGGGCGGCACGGCGGCCCAGTGGTTAGCACTGCGAGCCCCACAGCAAGAACACTGCCGGCCCTGGTTCCACAGGACCGGTGGGTGTTTCTGTGAGGAGTTTGTATGTCCTCCCCGTGTCCGCGTGGGTTTTCCCCGGGTTCTCCGGTTTCCTCCCATCCAAAAAGACATTCAACATGCATAACAATCAAGCTTGTCTAATCCCTTGTGTTCCCTTAGCTACCGCAGCAGGGGAGTTCTGAGATCCACCGAGCTCAGGCTCCCCTCTTGCTCTGCCAACGGGAGGAAGCCCCGGGCTCGAGGAGCCCTTGAGCTCGGGGCTCTCTCCCGGGACAGCATGCCAAACAAGCTTTTGTAAATCATCAGCTAAGTGTGAACTCTTGAAACTATGTAGTGGTAAAAGACCTCTTGAGTAATTTTTTAGAGTGTAAAAGTTTTTCTTTAGGCGACTAACTCTAATATAATTTTTCTCTCAAGTTCAATATTTAATCAGTTTAACTCCGCTACAGATCTACGCTGATCATTTAGAAACCAAGGAACCCAAATGGAAGAGAAATAATCGCTTTAATGATCATAGGAAGGTTTTTTTTTGGCTTAAACAAACATGGTGTGGTATAAAGATGTGTATAAAGGAAGACTTGCAGTCTGTTAAACAGTTGAAATGTGAAGATATCCAAAATCCAACGTCCAGCATCAAGGGAAGGCAGCATTGCTGAACACTCTGAGGTACATTTTTGGCAGGAGGAACTGAGTAACCCAGCACATGGTAAATTAAATTAATGGATTAATTTCAATGTGTTTACAGATCCTGGATCAGCCAAACTATGGTGTGCCAGTCCAAATAAGCAGAAAAGCAAGTACTAAACTGTTTTAAGAACCAGCAATGTTTCTTGTTTCCCCAGGTGTTCACCATGCTCACCAGCTTTGTGGACGGAATATTCTGCTGCTTTACAGGGAAGTCTACCAACGTGGTTGTCCCTGTCGAGTCCTCTGAGCCCACAGATGGTTTTGAATTTGTTGAAGTAAAGCCAGGACGAGTTTTGAGAGTTCGACACATCATCCCAGACCGACCTGTGGTTGAGGAGCCAGGGACTGGGGAAGGCGGTACAGTGAGCTGCAAGCGTAAAATCTCAGTGTACAGAAACGGACAGCTTCTTATTGAGAATGTCAACGAAGCCACGCACCCAGAGCTGGTGCGCTATCAGAATGGAGACAGCACTGTGGATATGGAGGTCTCCAACTGTGAGTCTCCTGTGGTAGGCCAGGCTACTGAGACCCCAGCAGGAGGACAGGCTGCAGAAACCAAACCTGCCCCACAGGAACAGCAGCAGGTGCACCGTAGGCGCCGAAAACCCAAACGCTCAATCGTGATCGACTGTGAGCGGAAGATTACTTGCTGCAAAGGTACTCATCCCGACGTGGCTTTGTTTTTCATACACGGCGTTGGGGGATCACTGGATATCTGGAGAAGCCAGCTGGACTTTTTCTCCCAACTTGGATATGAAGTCATCGCCATGGACCTGGCCGGCCACGGTGCAAGCTCAGCCCCTCGCATTCCTGCTGCCTATACCTTTTATGCTCTGGCTGAGGACGTCAGAATCATATTCAAGCGATATGCGAAGCGGAGGAATATTTTAGTTGGACACTCATATGGGTGAGGATTGGTCTACGGATTTGTTTATTTGCCTGGGTGCAGAAAATCCTTGAAAAAGCTTGAATTTTAATTTAGTGTTTGCAAGGATTGAAAAGTTCTTAAGTAAAGTGATTGAAAGCGTAATCTTACTAAATATAGGTGATATTTAACTATTAAAATTATTTCACATAAATAATTTTTCGCATAAAATGAAAAGAAAATGCATGGAGATGACCACTCCATGAGTACTTAACAGTAATTCAATGTAGGCCCTGGGACAAACATTATAATATAAGTAATACTATATACTTACAGCAGTGGTTCCCAAAGTGGGGGTCGCTTGGTGATTTTCCAAATTAATATATAATAATTAATAGTTACAATAATTGTAACTAATTATTGTAAAAAAAATAAATAAAATTGTAGCCTTCAATAATTTTTTGTTCATAGGATTGGTGTGTTTACGTTAGATTAACAACACAGCAATAGCGTCAGCTGCAGCGGATTGATTTTATAGCACCAGGTTAAACTTTTTGACACCTTTATGGCAATCAAATACATTTAAAATAAACACAGACCAACCCGATAATCTGTTATTTCTAATTAGCCAAATGCGTTTTTATGCAAAGCAACCGAGCATTTGAATCCGCCGCGACGTGACGAGATTCGCACATTAGTAGGACCATTGTAGTCTTTGGACGTTACAGTAGGTTAAATCATTCATTCATTTACTTGTCGGCTTAGTCCCTTTATTAATCCGGGGTCGCCACAGTGGAATGAACCGCCAACTTATCCAGCAAGTTTTTACACAGCGGATACCCTTTGAGCCGCAACCCATCTCTGGGAAACATCCACACACACACACACTCTACGTCTTGTCTACGGACAATTTAGCTTACCCAATTCACCTGTATCGCATGTCTTTGGACTGTGGGGGAAACCGGAGCACCCGGAGGAAACCCACGCGAAGACAGGGAGAACATGCAAACTCCACACAGAAACACCAACTGAGCCGAGGTTTGAACCAGCGACCCAGCGACCTTCTTGCTGTGAGGCGACAGCACTACCTACTGCGCCACTGCTTCGCCCAGTATGGTTAAATCTCAACATGGAAATGTGTGCAATCGCGATATATTGTATTACATGCATACTTGTACATACATGTGTGTCTAAAAAAAAGGATGTAATCGTCCTCTCCTTTTTTTTTGGAGTGCATTTTTACTCGTCACCCAAACCGCAAAGTGAATGAATGAGGCTCGTTGCAGACGCTCAAGAGATTCGCGCTGTGATTGGCTGAGTGATCGTTCACTCAAATCAAGTAACAAATCAGAGAACACTTGCGGCTGCTAGGTCAAATTAAACATGTGGGTGAGTCGGGGGACAGAATCGCCTGTTTCCGAAAAGTGAGGGGAACGTGTCCCTCCGTGTGCACAACATCTGAATATTTATAACCATCTCCGAGGAGTTTGAGGGTTGCGAGTCAATGACATTGTTATTTTGGGGGTCACGGGCTGAAAAGTTTGGGAACCCCTGACTTAGAGGACCAATACTGTAAAATAGAATACTATAACAAGTAGCGTCTGATATAATGTGAACACGTATGTATTTTGCCACACTTTTAATCCCTTTATTAATCTGGGATCGCCACAGCGGAATGAACCGATAACTTATCCAGTACGTTTTTACGCAGCGGATGCCCTTCCAGCCGCAACCCATCTATGGGAAACATCCACACACAGTAATTCAAACTGATACACTACGGACAATTTATCCTACCCAATTCACCTGTACCGCATGTCTTAGGACTGTGGGGGACACCAGAGCACCCGGAGGAAACCCACGCAAACGCAGGGAGAACATGCAAACTCCACACCAAAACGCCAACTGACTTAGCTCAAACCATCAACCTTCTTGCTGTGAGACGACAGCATTACCTACTGCGCCACTGCGGCACCCTGAAACACAATTCTTTACTTTTTAGTTTTTACTAATGTAAGTGGATTGAACATAAAACAATTAAGATAACTTTATTCATTTATGTTGAACCATCACAAATCCATTGAGTGGAACCCAACATTATATACAGTGTGGGAAGTGTTTGAAAAGTGCTTCGGAAAAGGTGTAAGAACCCTGTAAACCAGGGGTGTCCAAACTCAGTCCTGGAGGAACAGTGTCCTGTTGAGTTTAGCTCCAACTGGCTTCAACACACCAGCCAGGAAGTTTCTAGTATGTCTAGTAAGAGCTTGATTAGCTGGTTCAGGTGTGTTTGATTACGCTAGGAGCTAAACTCTTCAGAACCGAGTTTGGAAACCTCAGCTGTAAACGCTTCATGATTTCCCCCAATAATCACAGTATTTTCTGTCTTTGAACAGAGTCTCATTTTGCACCTTCCTGGCTCATGAATATCCAGAACAGGTTCATAAACTTGTGATGATAAATGGCGGCGGGCCCACAGCACTCGAGCCCAGTCTCTGCTCTGTCTTCAACTTGCCCACATGTGTCCTTAATTTTCTGTCCCCGTGCCTCACCTGGAGCTTCCTCATGTAAGAATAATCCTTCACAGGACACATTCATCTCTGCCTTGCCCTTTTCTAGCATAAATACTAGTAACCATGTTTTGACCACCACCTTGTCCATTTTATTTATTAGTCTGTACTAACGAAGATGCATTTCCCCCTCTTTAAGGGCTGGGTTTGCCCATCAGGGAACAAGGGAAAAGAAATTACTGAAAGAGAACAATGCCTTCAACGTGTCTTCCTTCGTTCTGAGGTCCATGATGAGTGGACAGTACTGGCCGGAGGGTGACGAGGTTTACCATGCTGAAATCACAGTGCCTGTTCTGCTGGTTCACGGCATGTATGACAAGTTTGTACCAGTTCAAGAGGACCAGCGCATGGCAGAGGTACAGAGATGGAGTTTTAAAGGGGACCTATTATGCAAAAACATTTTTATAATGGGTTTAAACGGTTGTGTGGCAGCAGTCTGTGAAAATAACCATTTTTTCATATTTTATAATCACACTTGATTAAAAACAGTCTCTAAGATCATCTCTCCCTCATTAGCATATGGCCTTAGTCTTGTTTTTGAATTAGTGATGGGAAGTTTGAATCACTTTTCTGACTCAGATCTTTGAGTCGCGTTCATCGAGATGAACGAATCTTTTTTCGAGTCATTTCGTTCATTTGGTTCAATTTGCCAAAATATTATTAAAATGTTACGAATTGCTTCCAAACACATCTACAACTAGCCCAAAAGGTTGATCACACGACAAATAAGTCATAAATATAATACTATAAGAAGGAGAAAATAAAAATTCAATGTTTACCTGCTCTTTTGACTATGAAGGTATTGTTGTCTCTTTGCTCAGCTCACCTCTTCATGTCTTCAAATGTCAGTGGTTCGTTCACGTTTCACTGACAGTCAGATATAATCTATACCAATGTACACCACAGTCTGAGTCGATAGGAGCCATGATAATTAGTTCACCTTTCAAGTCTTCTGGTTCTTAAGTTGTTTGTTCATCACGTGATAGAATGACTCAAACCCGAGGACTTGAGAGATGAACGGTTCAATTCTTTTTCCGGCTATGATTGGCTTCTGCCTTTCCGCGATGAACTCAAAAGACTTGAAATGAACGATACAACCTGCACAAATGTCTCAGTCCCTGAGATGACTCATAGTTCCCGAGTCATAACCCATCACTATTTTGAATCTGCCACTATGCTGACACATAGACATTTGTAGCTCCCTCTTTTCAAAATAGCACAATCTCATTTGAATTTAAAGTGACAGTAACTAAAATGGCTCCATTAGGATTAAAGCCTAAAAGGGGGCGGTTTCAAAGAGTTAAAACATTATTTGTGGAATATTTTAAGCCTAAACTTCACATACCCACACAGTAGGGACATAAGAGACTTATTTTACACCTTATAAAAGGGGGCATGATTGGTCCCTTTTAAGATATTTTAAATTTTGTTTGTTTTGTCCTTCTCTGTCAAACCGACATCAACAGAGAAGGACTGTGGCTCCAAACCCTGAAGCAAATGGTCAGAATTTGATCGAAGATTACTAAAAACAAACATCTTTTTAGTATGTCCAAAGAGCATGTTAACTTTGACTTTAAGCGTTTTTAATTGTGGTTGAATTATTAACCACCTCATAGCCGTGCCGTTATACAAATGTCCTTGTTAATCAGTGCCGACACACACAACTTTTGTTTCTGTCACCTTGTAGATCCTCTTGCTGGGTTTCCTGAAGGTTCTGGATGACGGAAGCCACATGGTCATGATGGAGTGTCCTGATGTAGTCAACACTCTGTTACACGAGTTCTTCTTGTGGCAGCCAGCAACCGCCTCAAAGCCCAAACAGGAAGCAGCGCCGACAAAGACCAACACCAAATCTCCAGAAGACACATCCAGACCTAAAACTGCCCCGAAATCACCCTCCAAATCTCAACCTGATTTGCTAAGACCGACAACTGCACCTAAAACAACCAACATCGCCACAGAAGCCCCGGCAGTAGCGGACATCAAATCTAAGGGCAAGAAATAACTGCTTTTCCCAATATACATGTGCTGGGGTAAAGCATTGGGCTCGTGTGATAGAACAAGTTTAATGGAGCTTTCTGAACATTGGATATCACTGGATATTCACCAGCTGGTTTAAAACAGTTGGTCTAAAAGCACGAGGGTCTACTTTAATAATTCCAGTTTTGGAGCAGGATGATTCCTAGAGGTTGTCTTCTTTTCTGTGACACAGTCCTTTCCAAGTGATTTTTATTTCTACCATGGGATATTATATATACTTGTATGCCATATGATGTCAATTTTAAGGCTGAAAATGTCACATTACATAAGGGATGAATATAAGCACTGCTGCCGCTGTTGAATCTAATAGACTAATATTTTGTATTTATTTATGCCAGTTTTTTTTTTTATTTGACTACATCAGCTGATGTCCATCAGTTCATACATGGGTCTTCCTCTCTGTTAAAGTTTTATTTGAAACGTTCATTAGTGAAGTGTTTTTACGTTCAGATGACTCCAGCACTGTTGCTGAAATACTGTCAGATACGGTGACTTTACAATAAAAGCCATCAACTTGACTCATGTTCTTACAATTTAGTGCAACTACAGGTTAAAACAACAAGACTCATTGATAGGCCATCTACTGTTGAATTATGTGCAGAAGCTTCCATGTCATCCACATTCAGGTAAAACATCAGTTAGGGTTGAGCTTTTGTTAATGTAACCTTATTAAATGTAATAATCAGATTCTATTTTAAGCATATTTTTACTGCATTACTCAGTTTAATCAGGGAAATTATGAAAATGCTGACAGAAATTTTATGTTAGGGTGCTCACACCTGTTTTGTTCTGAAACAGGTTAAAATGGTTGGTCTTGCTTGTCCTTGATGCAGTTTGATTTCACACAGTAAATTTTTTAAAAGAGGGGCGTCCAAACTCTCCTGGAGAGTTTATCCCCAACTCTAATCAAACACCTGAAATTAAGCTCCAACTAGAAACTTCCAGGCAGGTGTGTTGAACAAGTTAAATCTAAACTCAGCAGGACACCGGCCCTCCAGGACCAAGTTTGGACACTCCTGTTCTAAGCAAACCAAAACTGTCACATGCGATGATGCCAGTAAACTCTCCTCTTGTTGGTGATGAGTTTGGTTTATTTCCACTCAGCTGTCATTTTAACCTATGATGAGAAATTTTGTGAAAGGTGCACTTTAATTTTGAATGGTAACAACCACAGGCTAGGCTTGGGCGGTAATATGGTATACGGGATCTAAAAATGGCAATGGTGTCAGTTTTAATACCATTATACCGACGTAAAAACAATGCACTTAAATAGGAAACAAGTATTAAATAATATTAAATATTATTTATTAAATGCGTATGCGTGATTGTCATGACGGGACAGTGTGGAGGAGAGAGAGATGCTGTGAATCTCTCTAGCCCTCTGTGTGTGTGTGTCCCACGCAGATCTCTAATATGAACCGCGAACCTCAGGTCGCATATACGGTATTCAGTTTCTCAATGATTTAGGCACAAGCCAACAGTTTGGTGACGCTGTCTGAGCCTTACGTCATATTTATTTTATTATGCACAGTAATACCGCATACCGGGGTAAAACAGGGAGGAGGTTTGACGGTCTCAAAATTTGGATACCGCCCAAGCCTACCACAGACATCACCAAATACAAATCAGGTAAGAATTTGTCAGCCTCATTTCAATTGTCGAGAGTTGTAAAATATTTATCAATTCTATGTCAGAAGTTAAACAAAAAGCTAACGATACAAATATATATTTAGCAGTTCAGTTACACATTACTTTCACATTAAACACTTTTACTACGAGGAATGACATTACCCTGCTCATTCTCCCTTATATATATATATATATATATATATATATATATATATATATATATACACACTGTGATATAGGCTGTTGGTTGGATCAGATTGCTTTCTCACTACAACCAAATTGAGATCACCTCATTCAGGTGATCTTGGACCAATAGGGTATATGCCTAAGCATGCTAATAGGACTTTTAATTTGCCAGTAACCTGGCTTAAGCGTTTCTGGTGAACTGTATGCCGTTGGGAAATCAGCGTGTTTAAGGTCCGTTTTCTTTAAAAATCTGTGATATCCACTGGCTGAGTGATATCTGATAATAAGCACTGCATTAAATGACATTTTCCCCGCCATGTCTATAAAATATGAACATTTATTTTACCCCAGTATATGGAGCTTCTGCGCTAGCCTGCTAATCCTGATGGGCGCGCTTTTGTCTCATTTTACACTTGAGCAACTAAATCAATGTTGTAAAAGGCTCCGTATAAAATGGAAAAAACTCACAATAACAGGTCACCCGATGTTTATCAGTATGGGAACAACACTAGCTCGACATATACCCTATTGTTTTGGAGCAGAACAGACCACGATTGTCTGACTAAACCATACCAAAAATAAATCAATTAAACCAATGAACAACTATTGATGTTGGCTGGATTGAAAAGAATGAACTGGATAAAGTTCAATAACTATTTTCAGCATTATTATAAATGTGCCGTAAGCAGAAAGAAAAGACAGACTAAAGCAGAGGCTCTTCTGGAGGCTTTTATTTACATACTCATCGACTTTTTACTTCAGAGGAATGAAGCGGGAAGAATGAGTGGCTCCAATACCAGGACGACCGTGCTTAACAGGCTTGTAAGTGATGGAGAACTCTCCCAGGTAATGACCAATCATTTCAGGCTGGAGAAACAAACGGAAAATAAATAAATCATTAACTGCACACTGTTGAGTCTAAATTCATTACAACTTCAAAAATAGGACTGCCGATTATGACATTACTCAATATTTTCCATATTCAATGGCTTAGTCTTGAGACGTTTTACTCTGAAAGCCACAAAGAGCAGCACCGGTATTCAATGCAAAACACATTCGACACATCACCAGTGCAGGATTCATCCCCACCTTGATTTCCACCTGGTTGAAGGTCTTGCCGTTGTACACGCCGACCATGGAGCCCACCATCTCGGGCAGGATGACCATGTCTCTCAGGTGAGTTTTGACCACCTCTGGCTTCTCCATGGGTGGCGCCTCCTTCTTGGCCTTGCGGAGGCGTTTAAGGAGAGACTGCTGCTTCCTCCTGAGGCCGCGGTTCAGCCTCCTCCTCTGCCTGGCGCTATACAGCTGCATCAGCTGCTCACTACAGGTACAACAACACAAAAGCTTTGTCAGTCTTCTCTATTCTCCACATTTATAAATTAAACTGGCAAGGACTTCAAAAAAGAACAAAATAAAGTCTGTCTGTGCTGCTTTGACATTGCGAACCAATTATCAAACACACCAATTTGTAGCAAAACTTTCTCAGTTCAGTTTGGTGTTATCTTAATTTTTTTGTGGTCTGGCAATAAAGGCAATCTTTCAGAAGTGAAAGCAGCATTAGATCAAACCATTTACACCTGATTTCAATCCCACAAATAACAACTCCATTAATTTAGCATTGAAAGTGGACGGGCTATTAATTTTAGACATCCAGCCTCAGCACTTCCAGTGAACGGGCTTTCCAAACAAATAAAACTGCCACGTTAAAGTTCTGATTTCTTTCACATTCAATGATTTTTAGATGTTTGATATGAAGTGGGTCTGAGACCAGACAAGAAGCACTGCATTCATTTACATTTCCCCCTGTCATGTCTTTAAAATACGAGTTTATTTTACCCAGTATTTTCAATGGAGTTTCTCCTGATTCCCGATTTTAGTCTTTCCTCTCGTTTTACACTTAAAACTACATAGGCCTATTTACACACGAGTTTTGCTACAGTTACACCATCCGTCCACACTACGTCAAGAGTTTGAGCGCCAGAAATGGAGCATTTTGAAAAAGCTAAAACGCTGATGCCCCATGTTAGTGTGGACAGGGGAAAACGAAGACAATCTCCTCTCTGATTGGAGCTTCTTGCTCAATATTAAGTGCACACAGTTCAGTCTTAAATGCTCTCATTGTAAGTTCAGACTTTGTGAGAAGGGTCTGGCTGCAGAGTGGCACTTGCACCTCCAGGCTTGCACGCTCAGGCACCCACCCTTCCTATGCGAGTGACGTCATTTACAATCGACACCTGCACCTGTCACGTCACTTGAAATCAACACAAGTAAAACTAGAGTAAGTTTAAAGTTTGTTTGCAATGACAGTGACGACGTTGCCAAATAATTAAGTACTCAAGTTGTACACCAGGACAGAAAGTACAGTAGTGAAACGCTTAGAAAAAAGGCACTCAGGTCAAAGAGTGACCGATAAGAAGTTTGTTGCAACGATCTTAATGAATTCCGTTACCTCAGAGTTTTACGCCTCAGGGACACCCTTAAGTTAAATGACTAAAGGACTTTCATGCAAGCGGCCACAAGTGGCGATTGTAATTGACGTCACTTGCAGAGGAAGCGTGTTATTCAGAGCGTGCAAGTGCAAATCTGCAGCCAGACTCTATTGGACTTTGCAAGTTTGATATAGAAAACAAACTCCATGTTAGGTAAATCTTCAAAGGGAGCAGTGTGTTTTATAACCTCATTCGCATCACCCTGGCTACGTTGTTTCACTTTCTTAATAAAATGAAAACATAAGAAACAGCCTATTTTTATTTTGATATTAGCAACTTAACAGACAGCAGAAATGTTGAGGCGCTGTGTAGCTACATGTTTATATGATGTCATCTTCACTGTATGCATAACAAAACAGAGCCCATGACATTACTGCCTCCTTTTATTGTCATTCACGGTACGAAACATGCCCTCTCTGAAGCTGAATATCAGTGTTTTAATAATCAATAATGGCCATTATAAAAGTATAACGTACAATAAGTTTAAACAATATAGGAAATAAAGGCAAGCAATCAGTCAAATGTGCAGAATCAGTGTACGCGCTTACATAAACAAATATATTAACTTATCTCTGCGCTTGGCTAAAACACATAACCTGAGAACAAGTAATAGATTTAAAAGACCAAAGTCGGGGAATATGTGGTTAGATATAGACAACGAGATAAATTAAATATCACGTTTAACAAATATAGTGAGACTAGATCCAGCGGTAGATCCTTGATGAACAGTCCGACATGCGCTGCTCTCATCTGAGTAGATGACTGCCTGAAGCTCAGACGTACACATACGCTGCATCGCATGCCTGAGTGTGTGTGTGGTCACGTGATGTGCATTTTCAGTGCTGTAGTATGGATGGAGAGCGGTTCAGAAACTAGGTAAACCACTAGTGTGGATGCAGATCATTATCAATCTAAAACACCGTTTTAAAACTAAACGTATTAGTGTAAACGGGACCTGAAGCAGGCTATTAAACTGAATGACATTAACATCGATGGTGTAAAAGAAACCTTATGAAATTGAAAACCGTCACGTTAAGCTTTCACCAAAAGTTTATCATTGGCTGAAAAACACTAGCTGTGCATTTAGCCCATTGTTCCGGTTTCATTTACGACTTTCCAACAATTGACATGAGGATCAGCATATTGCGCATAGTTAAAGCGACAGTGCACCCCAAAAATCTAAATCTTCTGACACTCAAGTTACTCCAAACCTTTAGGGGTTTCTTATACTCCATTTAAAAAGAAAATGTAGATATTTTTAAAAATGTTGGACACTGGTATCCAATGTTCGCCAGTGGCAAAAAGTTTCTAAGGGTGCTTTCACGTCTGTAGTTGGGTTCCTTTGGTCTGGACGCAGGGCAAAAATTGATACACTGTAGCATTTTCTTCTGTTTTTGGGTTATTTGTACACCACACTGATTGCTTTGGTCCGAATCAGTAGAAAAGAACCAAAATTGAGTCATCTGATAAAATCCACATCACTCATTGCCAGATATTATTGAACACATTTCCTAAACTGCTTTTCGATTGGTCAGAATTCACGTGCGGGATAATGCCAATGCCGCAGTTAACAAACTGGTGAACACAACATGTCGCTTTTGACTATATGGAGCTACGACTGCGCTGACTGATTGTATCCCTGCTTATAGTATACTATATAGTTTGAATACATCACTATGGACAGACTATACATTTCGAAAATGAAATGCGGCTGGAAAATGTTTTAATGCATTGCAAACGGCAAAGACGCATCGCACGTCACTTCAGGAGGAGGCGTGAATTAATTTAGCTAAACTGCAACATGGTCATCTTCCGGAAATATTACCAACGATCCATCAGGTAATGGTTTTCCCTCTCTCTCTCTCTCGATAAAGCGCTGTCAACAAATATTTTCCTACACATTCCATGATGCACAGCACATCGGCCTACGGCAGCTGGATTAGTCCAAAAAGGCGCAGTACTTTTTGCGGTTGGGTCAGTTTAAATTCGGATCATAATTCACCACAAACGAGGTCTGTTTGAAAGTGCACCGAGACCACCTCTTTCAGGAGATCTTGGTATGCTTTTGGTGCTTACTACAGTACGATTGCTACACTGACACCTGCCCAAACGAGCCACACCGAGAGGGAAAATGAACTCTAGTGCCATTTAATCGAACTACATGAGGCAGGTGTGAAAACACTCGAACACTCTTTAAAACAAGCTCAAAACTTTGGAATAAATTTGAAGGTGAACAAATTATGAAAGGAATACTTTTCACATTTTGCAGCAGTTAGTTAATCAGCAGGACGATAATTTTACATGTCTAACGTTACATGGCTTGGCAATACCTTAAGATATGATCGCTAAACATCTAGGAATGAAATGTCCCACGATATGACCTATTGCGCATGCGTCGAACAAGTATACTTTGAAATGCATCACATCAGACTATGATAGTTAAAAAAAAAAGTTTACATAAAGCTTTGTCTTTACTAACTGTGTGGAGCGAAAATGTTTTTAATTTTTACTTACTAGGACATGTCCAGCAGCTGGTCCAGGTCCACACCTCTGTAGGTGAATTTCCTGAAGGTACGCTTCTTCTTCTGCTCAGTGTCCGCCTGCGGGAAACACAACCACTGTTAGCCGCTGCTGGGAGACATTACCGCGACTCTCTCCGTGACTTCAATAACAAATAAACGACTAAATACGTTAAAACGCGGTGCTTCATAACGCCACTCAAAAATAACGTATTAAAAATTCCCGTGGATCCATCATGCCGGACTGAGAAATGCAGCGCAAGACTGAAGCTGCTAATCAGACGAACATCTACCTAATCTTTCATCCCAAACACTTAAATAGTGGCCTGGTAACATTCACTAAATCTTAAACACATCTCACTCGTGTTTAATGTTCTGATTCGCATTGTATATACGACAGATTGCTTTGGATTAATGTGATGTAGCTATTCAGAAATAAAGACATGAACCTACCATCTTCAGAGACTACCGGAAAAGGAAGAAAGCAGGAGAGGCGCTGTAATATCGCGAGAGTTCCGTCATTCTTCATGACGACTTTGGAAAGCCGCCATCTTGCGGAGAGGAGGAGGAAGTAAGTTTTTCACGTAAAAACAGAATATAAACAATGTATATAATTGAGCCTGACAATATGCCCAGAAAAGACGTAATAAGTGGATCAAATGTGACCACATGTAGCCTATTTGCTACAGCAATTTTGTCTAAAGTAGACCTAAATGCTGCCCTTTTGAATAATAAAACAAATACCACAGATGATGTTGCAGATGTGTTGCAGCACAAGAATTTTCTTTAAAACGCAATAAAATATATTTTATTTAAAAATGTTTGCATTAAATGAATCGGTCAATAATAGTAGCTTCAGTAAAGTTCCTAGTCTTTGGCTTTGGTGAGTTCAAGGCTTTAAAAATTTCACTGAGCCCAGACGTTTGACCAGCACGCACGCACGCACACATAGATATGTATGTATGTATGTATATATATATATATATATATATATATATATATATATATATATATATATATATATATATATAGATATAGATATAGATAGATAGATAGATAGATAGATAGATAGATAGATAGATAGATAGATAGATAGATAGATAGATAGATAAATATTATAATACATTTGCGAAAATAAATTGATACATCAGGTGGAAATATTAAATATAATTTTAATAAACAGATAAAAGAGAAACATAAATAGTAAAACATTGTTTTGTTTTGTTTTTTGCAATGACCTATTTGAATTTAAATGTAGGCCTATTATCTTTCTATTTCTAAAGTTGTTCGGTGACCAAACATTATAAATGTTGTAATTGTTTAATAAATCTGTTTAGTTCAAATGCACAAAATTCCCCATATACCCATTACCCAACAATGGACAAAAATGCTCATTTTCAAAAGGGGTTGGACTCGTTTATGCATTTATGTATATACAGCCCATTTTGAAAATGCATATTTTTGCCCATTTCTCACTGATTATGTGTAATATATATAGGTGCATTTAAACAAAACGGATTTATTAAACAAGATATAATTTATAAAATAATATTTTCGTCACAGAACATCTTTAGAAATGGAAAGAAAATACACTTAAATTCATGAAAATAATTTGCCCAAAAAAATGATGAGAGAGAGATTATTTCTGGTTTATAAGCTACCAAAAATATATTTATTAAATTCTAAATTATAATTTGTCTTTATGTGATATATATATATATATATATATATATATATATATATATATATATATATATATATATATATATATATATATATATATATTTATTTATTTATTTATTTATTTACCCCATATTGAAGCAACATAGAGCATTTGCACTTTTAAGACTTTACCACCACTTGGTGAAGACAAAAATCCTTGAGAAATCTCTTATTTTAAAACCTAAAAAAAAAAATAGACATTGACAACAATTAAAATAAAAATGTTATAGACATAAGTACCCTGCCCCTAATGTTCAACTGTTACAAGCATTATTAAACATGGACACTGCCTACCTTTTCCCACTCACAACTAAACAATTCTTAGATTTTATATATTCCGGCTCTTAAAAAAGTCAATAGATTCATTTGTGTAAATGTGAAAGCAATGAACTTTATGCACAGCAAACGTTTTTAAGCCAACAACAAACTTCCGGCGAAAGCTGGTCTATTTTCAGTTTCATAAGGTTCCCTTTACTACATCGATGTTGTGATGTAATAAAAATTAAATAGACTAAAGCATTCATTTGGTGGTTAAAGCGTAAAAAGAGAAGAAAGACGAGCACAAAAACTCTGGGGTAAAATAGATGTCCATATTTTAAAGGCATGGTGTGGTAAAATATAGTTTAATGCAGTGCTTCTTGTTTGGTCTGAGGCCCACTTCATATCGTATCTCAGCCAGGCAGTGATGATTGCTGTCGTTTAAAGAAATCGCATCTTAAACGCAGCGATTTTGAATGGGATGACGATAACAGGAAGCCCTGGGGCTGGCTGGCTGAAGTTAAAAGTGTGTCCATGTCTGCAGGCCAAGCGTGTTATTGCATTAAAATGGAAAGAGACTCAAAGGCCCTCTTCTAATCAATGGATCAAGGAAATGTCCTGTAATCTTGCTCTGGAAAAACTAACGTACATTATCAAACGGAAGTTAAAAGACTTTTATTGCATCTGGAACCCCTTTCTACACTTTTGCAACCAAGTGGACCTGACAGCAGAATAGAAGTTAATTGTCCAAAAGGTTTGTGGTGATTTTTCTTTAAGCTATCGTCATGTTATTTTGGGGCTATATATTAAAGGAAAAGAATTCCTTAATGCAACTTTTTGCATAAACCTCATTTTATTTATTGGAAAGTTTTTTATACACAAATGCAAATATACTCATGGTAAGCCTAATTTTCTATTTTTTAAACGAGAACTAGCTCTTTATTTAAAAAAACATCATAGACTCTCACAATAAGAAAGCTATTAAAACTTCTAAAATATGTGCTTTATTTAATATTCTGCAATAATTTATCTTTATGTGCCCTTAATTATTTATTTTTCTTCTTCTTTTCTCTCTCTTGTTCCCTTTAATTTCTTTTACATTTATTAATTTGTTCTAAATTTGTTACAATCCACTTTTTTCAAAAAGTAATATTTCTATTGATTGTACTATACTTCTTTCAGTTTTGTATCGGTATTTGTTGTAATGTATTGTTATTATTGCAATAAAAAAAATAAAAAAAGAATAGAAGTTAAATAAAACATCAAGGTCAAACAGTGAACTACTTTTGATGTTGTGTGCAAAGAAATATACTCTATATTGACTCTTTTTATTTTTATTTATTTAGAATTTTTTTATTTTTATGTATTCATTTATTTTTATTTTTTATATTTATTTATTTTTCTTACTGTTGTTATTTATTTATTTATTTATTTATTTATTGAAGTTTAGTATGTTATCCTGGAGTTGTTTTGTTGTAATGTGATGTTCAGATGTTTAAATGTTTTGTTTTAATGTTGTGAAAAACCCAATAAAAATTTTTTTTTTTAAAAGTGTGTGCATATACCCCATTGTACCGTGAACTCAATAAACTGTCACAACATAGCTTCTTTAAATCATTTATTTCAAATAAACTCTCATTTTTGTGTGTGTTTTTTTAAACTTTCTTTTTTTGCATAAGTGCAAAGTGCACCAACAGCCACCTGAGGAAATTCTACATCCTTAAATAAAAAAACGAGAAAAGCGCACATATATTAGTACAAAATTCTTTAAAAAATTGCACAGTTTAGGTGTATAATACACATTTGTACTCTATTTCAAACTTAAATAAAACGGTAAAAGGCTCGTAGAGTAAACAAAATCCACAAAATTCCAAATAAAAACATTTCCCCGCTAATATAATAATTAAAGCTGAATAATTGGGAGACCCTGTCGCTGACGTCTGGTGCGTCTGTTCTGTGCTGATGTTTGACCAGACAATCCAAATCTATTGCTAAATACTTCAGTAGTTCAGTTCTACTACAAAATATAGAAGAGTACGGTGGTCTCCTATTGTCGGAGTAGAGCCCCTGTTTACAATTTACACACAATAAAACCCCTTTTTTTATTTGCTCTTTGCGATCTTCAGAAAGACAATCCCAATATCCAGTTCAGCTTGTGCTGGAAACGTCTGTATCCCTGACGATGTTTATTGCATTGGGGAGGGAGGGAGGGTTGGTGTGGGACAGCAGCTCAGCGCCGGTAGGGGTGGAAGCCCTGTACATTGTGGTTCTGTCCCCGTCCGAAGCTGCTGGCGGCCGCTGGAGCTCCTGACGAGGGCGCGGAGGGGGCTGCGGCGTATGAGGCAGTAGGCTGGCTGGGGTCTGCAAAGCTATGACCAAAAGCACTCAGGTCCTGCCCATAACCTGTCTCAACAGACATCAAAACAAGGGATGGGATATTAAACACCAGTAAACCAGTGCAGACGTGTGACTAGGCTTTCTGCGCATCTCGTAACCCCCCTCAGCAGTTTGTGCTACACTTAAAACATTATATTTGCTGCTCGTTCAAACTTCACTGTAAAACATAACTAAAAATACAGTTGTAGTCAGAATTATTAGCCCCCCTTTCAAATTATTTTTCTTTTTTAAATATTTCCCAAATGATGTTGAACAGAGCAAAGACATTTTCACAGTATGTCTGATAATATTTTTTCTTTTGGCTAGAATAAAAGCACTTTTTAATTTTTTTCAAAAAACATTTAAGGTAACAATTATTAGCCCCTTTAAGCTATATTTGTTTTCGATAGTCTACAGAACAAACTATCGTTATACATGAACATGTCTAATTACCCTAACCTGCCTAGTTAACCTAATGGGGTATATGCCGAAGCATGCTAATAGGACTTTTAATTTGCCAGTAACCTGGGTTAAGCGCTTCCTGCGAATCGAATGCCAATGCAAAATCCGGTGCGTTTAAGGTCTGTTTTCTTTAAAAATCAGCGATCTCCACTAGCTGAGTGATATCCCATTTAAAGTGGGTCTCAGATTGTACAAGAAGCACTGCATTAAATTACATTTCCCCCACCATGTCTTTATAATATGAGCATTTATTTTACCTCAGTATATTTAATGGAGCTTCTGCGTTAGCCTGCCGATTCTGACGGGCGCGTGCGAGTAATCAACTTTTTGTCTTGTTTTACGCTTGAGCAGCTAAATAAATGCTAAAGTTTATTTAACTGAATGTATTTTAATGACATTACAACATCGATGCTGTGTAAGGAACCGTATAAAATTGGAAAAAAAATCACAATAGCAGGTCACCGGAAGTGTATCAGCATGGGAACAGCACTAGCTTGGCATATACCCTATTAACCTAGTTAAGCCTTTAAATGTCACTTTAAGCTGTATAGAAGTGTCATGAAAAATATCTAGTCCAATATTATGTACTGTCATCATGGCAAAGATAAAATAAATCAGTTATTAGAGACGAGTTATTAAAACTATTATGTTTAGAAATGTGTTAAGAAAATCTCTCTGTTAAACAAAAATTGGGGGCTATTAAACAGGGAGGGCCAATAATTCAGGGGGGCTATTAATTCTGACTTCAACTGTATATGGCTGTATGAAGAAAGAATTATGAGTAGGGCGGGATGTCATTTCTTCCGGCAAATGTGCGTTTCATGTCGAATATGAAAGTGAACGCATGCTGAACTATTACAAAAGCTGTTAATGCATTAGGAGAATTGACCGAACTGCAGTCTTGGTTTATCTGTTCTTTCCCTCTATAATGCATAATTCTACTCAACGACTCTGAAAGAGGTTTTATCTCTGATTTATATTTGGTGATGATGTCTGTGGGTGTCAAAATTACAGTGCAGCTTTTTGCTTATACTGTCTTATTGCTCATCATCATACAGTTGAGGTCACAATTATTAGCCCCGCTGAATTATTAGCCTCCCTGTTTTTTCCCCTAATTTCTGTTTAACGCAGAGCAGATTTTTTTTGAAACACATTTCTAAACATAATAGTTTTAATAACCTAACTTTAAAAACTGATTTATTTTATCTTTGCCATGATGACAGTAAATAATATTTGACTAGGTATTTTTTAAGACACTTCTACACAGCTTAAAGTGACATTTAAAGGCTTCACTAGGTTAATTAAGTGAGCTAGGCAGGTTAGGGTAATTAGGCAAGTTAATGTATAACGATGGTTTGTTCTGTAGACTATCGAAAAAAAATTAGCCTAAAGGGGCTAATAATATTGTCCTTAAAATGGTTTTAAAAAAATTAAAACTGCTTTTATTCTAGCCGAAATAATACAAATTAGACTTTCTCCAGAAGAAAGAATATTATCAGACATACTGTGAAAATTTCCCTGCTCTGTTAAACATCATTTGGGGAAAATTTAAAAAAGAGAAAAAATAAATAAATAAATCGAAAGGGGGCTAATAATTTTGACTTCAACTGTAAATTAAATAAGGACGCATAACAGCTGAGGAGGGCTCTGCAAAATAAACCCTGAAACTTTGACCAAAGTGACGAGAGTTTACTCGCATGTGACTTGTTTTCGTTATATGGGTCCATTTAAAAACTTGGCAGTGTGAAAGCGAACCGCACCAATAATGAAAATAAACATTGTTACAATTTCAATCCCTGTTTTGGAATAAAACCATCAATCTAAAGCACCCAACTAAACCCAACTAGCAAATGTATAAAGAGTACCCAAATAATAAAAATGAATTAAATACTGCAAAACTTCAATAACCTTGTTGTTCCTTTGTTTGTTTTATCCATCTTCTAGTCATGCAATTTGATGTTGTCATGTATGAATCCCCACACATCTATCTCTGCTACTACTTATCAAACAAAAGTGGTGCACAAAAGGTTGGAGACCCCTGCGTTAGTCTACATGAGCACAAATGAAAAAGAAATGGATTACTTTAAGGGAGCTTTCACACCTACACTTTTGTTTCGTAACGTATCTCGTTTGCCCAGTTAGCGCGGTTCGTTTGGCATATGTGAACAGGGCAATCGCGCTCTGTTCCGCGCAAAAGTAATCGCTCCGAGATCGCTTGAATGAGGTGGTCTCGGCTCGATTGAAACGAACCCTGGAGCGGTTCGATTGCAGTGAGAAAGCGATCCGATCCGAGCGCGGTTATATCACAGTGTTTTATGGATATGTAATAGGCTTACGGCTATATGAAGAGAGAATTATGAGTAGGGCGGGAAGTTTCGCGAGTCTCCAAGTGCCCGCAAACGAGCGATATCTCCCGGTAATCTCGCGTCTCCCTCCCAGTCCTCAAATAGGCATCGTCGCGCACCTTTCTCACCCCTCCCCACCGCATCTCTCCTCAGACACATCGCGCGCACTTTGTCAATCACCACCACCAAATCACCACCTCTCCTGACAGCTGAGCGGGACGCTGCAAAATAAACCCTGACACTCTGAGCAATGTGAGGAGAGTTTACTCGCACGTGACTTGTTTTAGCTCTTTTGGTCCGATTAGAAACTTTGCAGTGTGAAAGCGAACCGCTCCAAGAGCAAAGAGCAACAACGTAACAATTTCGGAACAACTGAATCGATTCACAGGTGTGAAAGCATCCTAACGCCCTATTCACACGGGGCTTCAGCGTCAACGCTTGACTGAAGGCGTGTCTGAAGTTGGGGTTGAAGTGATCGTCATAGAAGCGTCAGCCAATGAAATTCAGTCAGCAATAGGCCACTGTCTAGCTGGTGTATTTGCATACAGCGATCTGATTGGCTGACGCTTCCGTCGGCGCTTGAAAAGTTGAGCTGTTCCCAACTTCTGCGAGCAACGCCTCTGAAGCAGCGCAGACGGATCCACAATGCAGTTCGGCAACGCCTGACGACACCCATTCAAAGTGAATGGAAAGCGTTGGCGCTGACGCCCCGTGTGAATGGGGCGAAAGAGTCAGGTAAAGAATTTTAAGTGGCCGCCGAATTCGCACAGACTTGTTCAGCGGTGACTGTCACACGCTGCATGAGGGGAGCGAAATCCACAGAAAACCCAGTAGACACATTAGATCATCCTTTTGGCAGCAAAGCAATGCGGTGACTGGAAAGAAAAGGATCTGAAGCAAGCTGTCAGTGCTGGGCATATAGTAAACGACAGCTACAAGCCATACCAGATGCAATGCCATCTAGTGAAGCCTCATCAGACATTCAGATATTCATTTTAAGCATGCGTCCCTCAGAATGACCTGTAGCTGTGCTTTAGTATATCCCGTGATATGCCTCGAGCAGATGTAGAATATGCATACGGCGAATGCATATTGCACATGCGATGCGTGAGAAACCGCATGAGCTGTTGATGTTTGTTCTATTGGGTTTGAGTGATTGTAGGATGCAGTTGCTCACCTACCTGCGCTATATCCCTGCTCTTCCTGTACATAAGTGTGAGAAGGACGCGTTGGTCCGTAGGCAGAGGGGTCCTGAGGATAGTTACCCAAGCCTAGCAGGGAGATGAGGAGACCAGGTTGACTCGACCCAAAGAGAGTCTAACTTAACTACTAGCTTACAGCTCCTACCCAGGTGAACGCTGCCCTGGCCTGCTCAGAACATGTGGATGGATCGACCCGCGCTCTTTCTAAATGGGGATGTTTATCAGCTGGGCTATTAGAGTGCTGATGAATGGAAGCAAAGCGGAGGCGTGACATGATGAGAGCGTCGTGGAAGACCGCCTGTACATATAGACAACCCACACAGACAGCCTGACGCCTACGCTAACAGCTCTCTCTACCTATGTCAGCGATGCAGATGCACAGGAAAGGGGTATTTTAAGATTCAATTCAACTCATGTTTATTTATACAGCGCTTTTAACAATGTAGATAGTGTCAAAGCAGCTTAACAGAGTTCTAGTTAGTCTAAAAGAGCTGGACTGAAGGTGCTATAGATCAGGGGTTTTTCACTTCGAGGCCCACATAAATATTTGAAGGCCCAAACTGATTATCTAGAGAAAATGCTATTTTAAAAGCTTTATTTATTAGGAAAACATTTATTTTGCTTTTTCTACATCATTTTATATAAAAAACTAACTATATATATATATATATATATATATATATATATATATATATGAGAAATATCACACCAGTAGCAGTGGGATATGGCTGTATATCGGCACTGGTGGGAGGCGTGCGTTAGTGCCCCCACCAGTGCCGATATACAGCCATATTGCACTGCTACGAGTGTGATATTGCGTTTATACAACAGTTTGACGGCATAATTGTGTATATAAAAACAAAATCAAACATGGAGAGTCTCAAAAACCCTTTTGTATGAGGAACTACTTTCTTCCGCCTTGGATTCAAATCATAAGCTGACAGTTAAACAGTTGAGCGTGCATCTTTTAAACTTTAGATCTGTAGTGTCTGCTTTTTGCTGGCTATGTGTGGGCGGAGTAATACACAAAGGGTAAAAAGGGTGTGCGGGTGCTGATATTACTTAAATATATCACGGCTTTCAGCCAATCAGATTCGAGAACCAGACAGAACACTTCTGTTCTGTATGTATGTATGTATGTATGTATGTATGTATGTGTATGTATGTGTATGTATGTATGTGTGTATATATATATACATATATATACATATATATATATATATATATATATATATATATATATATATATATATATATATATATATATATATATAGTATAAAATATAATATATATTTTAATATAAAACAGCAGACAGACAGGTTCAAAGCTCCTGAATTCTTTATTTGAGCTATTTTTTACAACTGCAGAGTATTTGGGCCTTTTCTTTAATAAAAAAAACCTGACAGGACAACAGGAGATGGCAAAAAAAAAATGCTGTTGCTTTGAATTAGACTGACTACTGTTCATCTATTAAACTGCTATTAATATCTCATTCATTCATTTTCTTTTTGGCTTAGTCCCTTTATTAATTAGTGGTCGCCACAGCGGAATGAACCGCCAACTTATCCAGCACAGCAGATGCCCTTCCAGCCATAACCCATCTCTGTGAAACATCCACACACACTCATTCACACTCATACACTACGAACAATTTAGCCAACCCAATTCACCTGTACCGCATGTCTTTGGACTGTAGGGGAAACCGGAGCACCCGGAGGAAACCCACGCAAACACAGGGAGAGCATGCAAACTCCACACAGAAACGCCAACTGACTTAGCCGAGGCTCAAACTATCAACCTTCTTGCTGTGAGGCGATTGTGCTACCCACTGCGCAACCATGCTAGTCATATCTATTAAAAATAAATGTAAAACACGCTAAAAACAAGCTAAATCTGTTGAAACATCAATCTGAAAGCGGTTGGGTTTGCAGCAGGACATTATTGGAGTTCGCTGACAGAAACGGTGAACAGCTCTTCACTACTGAAACACCACCGAGTCTCACTGGATCCTACTGTATGGGCGCGCCTTCGTAATAAAACATTCGCAAGACGTTCATTTGGACAAATCTGCAGATATTGTAAAGTGTTCACACAAAGAGATCACGCATAGTTTGTTAATCAACGGACTTGTGCGACATGATACAGTAGGAGTCGCAGACGTGAGGCATGTGCGAGCTGGTTATTATAACTCTAATCATCGTTACCTTCACATTTGCGTGACGGTCTGATTTATACAACCGAGGACGAAGTCTTTCCAGCGTTTGAAAATTTAAGACACAGTCTGCATTTAACAGTGAGGCTGTTTTTGCACCAAGTCTGAATAAGCTTATTCAATCACAGATAGAAGGAAATGCCATTACTTGGATCATTTTAATATGACATATTTAATAATGAAATCAAATAATTAAAGTGCAATATTTAAGCTAATTTTAAGCCATCTTACGGCCCACCGGCAGGATCGCTGAGGCCCACCGGTAGAGAATCCCTGCTATAGACTATTTCGATGTGGTCGTGTCATTGCCCCATGAACATTTCCTGTTATCAAACTACTTCATAACTGTAACAAGAGGCAATTCAATCATAACCTATTGTTAAAATTGCTCTCATCACATTATTTGTCAACAAGTGGCTCTTTTTGAATTCATGGAAGCTGTGGACATTACTTTTGCAAGGAAAATGAAAAGGTTGTGTCCGCTTTGCACACTGTGACACATGAAATGAATGCTGTACAGTGTGCCAGATCATGCAGAAAGAGCTGCTCTGTGCTCTGATGTAAATGTGTCAAGCAAAGAAAGAGACTCAATCAAACTATAGATTTACACAGCCTAGATATAGTCTGTGTTCGCAAATATACTCTACAATGGACCCTTTTTTTAGGGTGGTGCAGTGGATAGCAGGTTCGCCTCACAGCAAGAAGGTCGCTGGTTCGAGCCTCGGCTTTCTGTGTGGAGTTTGCATGTGCTCCCCGTGTTCGTGTAGGTTTCATCCGGGTGCTCCGGTTTCCCCCACATTTCCAAAGACATGCGGTACAGGTGAATTGGGTATGCTATGAGTGCGTGAATGAGGGTGTGTGTGTTTTCCAGTGATGGGTTGTGGCTAGAAGGGCATACGCTGCGTAAAACATGTGCTGGATAAGTTGGTGGTTCATTCCACTGTGGCGACCACAGATTAATGAAGGGACTACTGTGAAAAGAAAATGAATGATTGAATGGACCCTTTTCGCAAGACTTGCTTTAACACGTTTAACGGTCATCATATTCTTAGACCCTTGAACGTTTTTGATATTCAGACTTAAAAAAAAAAACATGTGAACATTTATATGGATATATGTATGTATTATATAATCTTTGCGTCAAATTACAAAAAACGAAATACTGCTTATGTGAGGTGTTTCTCACCGTACGTTCACACCGAAAGTAGCTTAAGTAGCTTAAGTCGAAAGAAAATTGCGTCTTCTCCAGCGTGGGCGTTGAGGAGAGTTGAAATCAAGTCAACTTTATGGTAATGAGCTATGTCGCGGTTCGGCGGCAAGCAATCAGAATGAAGATGTCCACCGCTTGATAGGGGTTCAGAGAACACAGACATGTGAACTTTGTTTCCAACCACAGTTGTTCCCAGGGGTTTGATTATTGCGGTCGCCGGATTTACAATGTTTTCTTACAGGAACATGCATTAAATAAGTTACTGATGTTCATTAAAGTTATATAAATTTATCTCAAAACAGCGGGAAACTCACATGACGTGACAGTACAAAACAGTATCCGCTTGTTAAGTGTGACGTCACACGGAGCGGCTTCCGGGTCCAAGCGCTCTATTCAACTGAATGGGGAGACTCATGAAATGGTAATAATAAACGTTTACAAAGCGATTTAATACTTTCGAAAGTCACGATCGCAATATACATGTCCATGCCTAATATCTGATGGCCAGAAAGTGATTCAATGTTTTATAACTTGTTAAAATTTTGGTATTTGTTATGCAGCAAGATTGTTGTGTACACTATGACTTTATGTAAAATTAACTTTAATTTGTGATAGGAATAAAACACGATCATAAACGAATGATTTCTCCACTCAAATGAATGGCGGCTTGGACCCGGAAACAGTATACATACGTCACAAACACGTCACCACTTAACAAGCGGATAGCTGCTTCAGGATATTTCAGACATATGGACACATATTAGATAAATAAAGCAAAGCCACACCAGACGCAACTTGATCTTCCATTGTTGTATGAATTTGATAAGAAGAGCGCAACATTTTCACGCCAGAAAGCATGATTTATGCAGGAATGTAACTGATAATGCTGCAACGGCCCCTTTAAATACGAGATCAATGTAGCGAGTTTTGACGCTCTCGCCGCCGGAGCTGAAGGCAGACAGCGTTGTCGCCAGGGTGGCCAGAGCGACCTTGGATGCTCTCGTCGCTTTCGGTGTGAACGTACGGTAATGCAGCATCTATGGGGCTGAGAGTAAATTTGACGTTATTCTTTCATCTGACTGCCGTATTTTTTTTCCTTTTTAATTAACTTTGGATAAAAGCGTCAACTAACTGAGGAAATGGCTTAGATGTACTTAATATTTGTCAGGACGCTGCTATTAAATTTCTAAGAGTGATTATTATTTCAGTTTTGTTTTTCTAGGGTGTTGGTAGGCTGTTTGGGGTGGTTGCCAGGTCATTCAATGTTGCCGAGATGTTCTGCATGGGTTTTACCACTAGAATGATATGGTGGATGAGTTCATCCCAAAAAAAAAGTTTTCTAACCTTCTTGTAGTTCAACCATGAATGGCTTTCCTTCTTCTGTGGAACATCTAAGAAGATACTCTGAGAAATCCAAATCATTAAATTATGGTCAGTTCAATAGTCAGCAGCGGTCATCAGACCTAAATCACCACCAACATTCATACTTAAGAATATCTTTGGGATTCTGCAGAAGAAACAAAGTCAAACTGGTTTGGAACAACAAGAGTGTGAGTAAACAATGACTGAACTTTCTTTTGCATTTACGTATACAGTTGGTCAAGCACATAGTCTCAAAACACTATTACTGGGGTCATGATTTAAGTTTTTAGTAGAAATAGTATGGGATCAATTATGGCCCATTTCCACTGAGTGCTACAGTACGGGTCACCTTTATCAGCCTTGCATTTACACTGCCAAAAGGGTACCAATGGCCATGGTGTACGACAGAAAGTACGACGTCATTCTCGCTCGAGGAGATGTGAAAGTAAAGCTGTACGGGTTGCTCACAGATGCCTTATACACATAAATACTTCTGCATTAATGTTTATTACTAACCTTTCTATGAACATGATTTGATTATAACTGCATGATAGTGTGAAATAGCCTACTGTAACGTCTACAATTGTATAAAACAAATAAATAAATGCAACATATATGAACACATAGAGCACCTTACAGTCTCCGATATGTTACTAATTACAGTAAAACTACACACAGCATTCATTTAGGCCTTATTTGGGTACTAAAACAGGCAACATATAGCCCAAACCTCTCATATGTATCTGTAGTCTTCACCGGAACATGTAGCTTCTGTTAGAGAGTAATTCTGTCATTCAGAGTTCATAATAGTCCATAAGGTGATGATAATAGTTAAACATGGCAATTTGTTCATCTTTTATATTTCTCCTTCGTTTTTTCACCCTTCACTCTGGCGTCTGTCTGTTTCTGAAAGGATCTGATGTCAGAAGTACTTCAATAATCATGCGCACGTTATTATCATCAGCTCAAGAAGTTCCTTATTTCAAATATAGGAACATGCAATGTTCCTATGCATGCAAGCTTTCTAAAGAAAGTGAAACCGTTCGTGTTGTAAACAACAACAGGACACACGATAGCATCTGCTCTTCTTCTTGGCTTTGTGGCTGTTCATCAAGACGACAACAAGGTCTGTTTAACTTAGGTCGACCATGGCATGTTAGGGCTGTGCAATTAATCGAAAATCCAATTTCGATTTCGATTTTGGCTTTTAACGATTATGAAAAACCATTAATCGAGATAAACGATTATTGCATCATATACCGCCCCCTTTCCAGTTGTACATGTGTTGCTCTTAAAAGCGCGAAAGGCCGCATGCTTCTGCGTGTGTTTGTGTGTGCGGCACGTGCTTAACGTGAGCGCTTTAATGGTCAATTGGGGGTCAAAACGCGGTGTTTAGTGATTATTCATATTAACCCTCATTTGTGTAATAAACAAGCGAGTTGAGGATCAAAAGACATGTGAAAGAGAAACCATTAAAGTGACAGGGCGATATTCCTGCTGCCGCCTGTTTCTATCATTATTCAAACAAAACGAGAAATCCCTCATTTCTGTGGACTTTTGTAGCTGAAGTGTTTTTCTTACAGTGAAGATGCTTAAAGCACAGTTTGTTTAATATTTTTTATTCTATTGTATTTGTTTCTCTTTCCTTTGCAGGGTGGAAAATAATATATGCAGTTGAAGTCAGAATTATAAGCCCTCTTGAATACTAGCAACACTTTTCATCCCCATTTTCTGTTTAATGGAAAGAAGATTTCTGAACATAATAGCTTTAATAAATCATCTCTAATAACTGATTTATTTTATCTTTGCTATGATGCAGTACACAATATTTGACTAGATGTGTTTCAAACTACAAGCATTCAGATTCAAAGAGCGATTCAAAGGCTTAATTAGGGTAATTAGGCAGGTCATTGTATAACAGTAGTTTCTTCTACAGACAATCAAAAAGTATAGTGCTTAAGGGGGCTAATATTATAGACCTTAAAATGGGTTTCAAAATATTTAAACCTGCTTTTATTCTAGCCAAAATAAAACAAATAAGCCTTTCTCCAGAAGAAAAAATATTAGAGGAAATACTGTTAAAATTCCTTGCTCTGTTAAACATAATTTGGGAAATATTTATTCAAAAAAAAAATTTCTCAGGAGTGCTAATAATTTTGACTTCAACTGATAATCGTTTTGAATAATCGTGATTACAATTATGACCAAAAAAATCGTGATTATGATTTTTAACAAAATCGAGCAGCCCTATGGCATGTTATTATATGTATATGTTATTATGGTGTAATGTGTCGGCTGTGTATTTAAAAATGGCGGTTCCTTTGTTTTCATTCTCCTGGCTTGTGCCCGAGTTAGTTATGTATCTCTGTAAACCAATAGTGTTCAGCAGTGTGTCTAGCTCTGCCTTTTGGTACCCTTTTGTTGTACTTGCCCTTTGGAAAGGGTACCCAAAAAGTGGTGCGATATGGTTTGCTTTTTGGCACCTTTTGATAGTGGAAACAGAAATAAAGCGCACCAAACCAAACCACTCAGTGGAAAATGGGCCATTATTACTTTTAACTTTATGTTGAGGCAATAATAGCTGCAATAATGTCTGCTTTAGCACCATTAAAAGTACCCTGTCCCACATCTCTGACCTCTGGATGCTTTCAGTTCTGGCTGTTCCTATGGACTGGGGGTATGTGACTATTTCTGTAAAGTCAGTTCTACTTTCTAAAGCAGGGGTCACCAAACTTGTTCCTGGAGGGCCGGTGTCCTGCAGATTTTAGCTCCAACCCTAATCAAACACACCTGAACAAGCTAATCAAGGTCTTACTAGGGATACTTGAAACACCCAGGCAGGTGTGTTGAGGCAAGTTGGAGCTAAATCCAGCAGGGACACCGACCCTCCAGGACCGAGATTGGTGACCCCTGTTCTAAAGTCTCAAACGGTTGCTCCAGATTTTGTCAGTACTTTGTTGACACCTGCATCAAGAGTTGTGTGTGTGTGTGTGTGTGTCTCAATATATGTCTAAATCTACCAATGAAATCTGACTTGACTTCCCATCGGCACCCCCACCATCCATCACTGCAACATCTACATATGAAAACCCTGGCCTGCGTTAGATGAAGCGGCAACTGGTCAAAAGCAGCATTGCAGAACAGGATGATCTAATTGACATATAGAACTGGATAAACCCTCAGACAGCACATATCAAAGTCTAGAGGGCAAACAGAGTGAGGGTCAGTGTGGAAGCACGTGTATGTGATGCCACCATGCCCGTTCAGACATGTGAACAAGAAGCAGAAGCCCTGTGATGGGCTACAGCACATCTGCGGTGGTTTGGTGCTGTGTTTTAGTGCACTCTTACCATACTGGCTGTAGGAGAAATCTGGCTGTGCTGGGGCGGCTTTGCTCAGGTCCTGAGAGGGAGTCGTTGCAGGAGCAAACCCTAAAGGCCCTGCGCCCGGCGTGGCGGGAGGGGGAGGCATTCCCTGTGCTACAAACTGGTCACCTTGAGGTGTTCCAAAGCTATATCCTGTGTTAGTAAAGACGAAAAACAACAATGTGGCGATCATGACAATTTTGTTACATTTCTTTAAAAGTTTCACTTCGTTTGCATCATTAGAGTGCTCAGTATTAATGAGTACACCACCTTTTGAAAATTATTATCTTTTTTTATTAGTACTATTATTGATAGGGGCGCACCGATATGAAGTTTTGGGCTGATACCGATAACCGATAACTAGAGACAGACAGAATCTGTGGACATTTTTTGTTATTTCTGCTGAGAATTGTGTAAAAAATCTGTGGATTATGTGAATTTTGAAAGTATCATAAGTAAAAACTTAATATGTGACATAAAAAGTAATACCTTTTTTTTAAACTTTTGTTTAATGTTTACGATGCAAATCCAATTAGATCCACTTATTTGGTAAACAAAGCAAGTCTATCATATATCTACTAAAAACATCACTATTATTATGTCACAAAATATCAGTGAAATAAATTTAAAAACTAAATGAATTTAAATTTACACACATTTACATTAAGTAAATACATAGACTCAATGATGGGCGACAGTGTATCCTCTAGGATTTTTTCCAGCTGTGGCGGAAGGTCTTTTTTTTTTTTTTTTTTTACACAGATCTACCAAATACCTGTGGCGTTATTTCAATGACAAATGTCGTGAGCACAGTATTAGAAGTCGAGATCGCATTTATTTAATAACCTACAAGTACGAGCATGTGAATCTCTGCTTGTGCGCCGATTTCCTCTGCTCCCTCAAATATAAGCCGATTCAAAAGCGCGCAGATCTTCTTGTGCGCTCTCAAATAAACGCTGCCGAGTGCGATTTAGTGCGTTTATGTAACGAGTATGTCTCCAGTATTTATTAGATTTGCTATGAATATTTATGAATGTCTCTAATAGACATACAGGGTAGCATTAATGCGTCCTGAAGTAAAGTGAAACGGCTATACGTTGTGTTTGCTGGCCTCACGCATCACGCACCTGTCAGCCAGCCATTTAGTCTGTCAGCACATAACCTTAACTGGATTAAACAAATGACGCACAGCACTACTACAGTTACAGAAAAGTTTGCGCTGTTATAATTCATTTACCCTTTAATACATTTTGGTGCGATTATTACCTGCTATTAAAAAAATTAAATGTTTTGAATGATCAGGTGTAATGTAGCCGTGGCGGGATGAATTTTGGCTTGGCGTCCCGCCATGGAAGAATGAATTTAGCGGAAACGGTGGCCTAAAAACCAGCTGAAATCTTTGGGTTCCGTGTGGGCCTACCGATAACTCTTCAGATTCGGAGGACAAAATAACCGATATATTAGCCGATAAATATAGACATTTAAAAATGTTTTATTTTTTTGCAATGAACAACTAATTTTATTTTAAAAACTTCTTAAAAGTTTGAACGGATCTTATGAACTGAATAGCCTGCTCAAACTAATAATTTCAAAATTGTGAGGTGATTATATAGACCTATATTCACTATTTTGCATAAATCAGCATGCCAAAAATAAACTTGAATGTTTATGCATTATGCATAAAAATAATAGGTTCAAGAGTTCACACTTTGCTGATGACTGATTATAAGCAAGTTTGGTATGCTTTCCCGGAGAGAGCCCTGAGCCCAAATGGTCCTTGAGCCCTGGGCTCCCTCCCGTTTGCAGGGTGAGAGGGGAGCCTTGAGCTTAGGTAGATCTCGACAGCTCCCCCTTGATAAGAGCTGATGACTAAAATGAACGCTATGAAGAGATAAACTGCAGGATGAGAGTTTGACCGTAGTGCTAAATTCAGATGGATCAATTCACTTGTAGTGCATGTTTTTGGAATGTGGGAGGAAACCGGAGAACCCGGGGAAAACCCACACGAGCACAGGAAGAACATGCAAACTACACACAGAAATGACCGCCAGCCTGTTAAAGGACTAGAACCGGTGATGTTCTTGCTGTGAGGCAACAGTGCTAACCACTGGGCTACTGTAGCGCCCTATGAAGGGAAATGTGAAAAAGTAGGGGTGGAAGGAGGGATTCTTCAAATCGAAGATGGCTGTAGTGAGAAACCCTGGCTCTTTATACTGGGTAAGGACTTGCCTGATTGGTGGATCATACATGCTAACGCAGAACCAGCCGAGTTCAATCATAATCACGTGATCCTCTCAAAATTAGTTTATAAATAAACTTCACATAAATAACAAAACAAGATTTAATTAACTTTAATTTAATTAACTTTAAAATTGTACAATTACATAATCTATCCCCTTAAAGATATTACAATTTTGATATCAGATCAAAAACGCCAACATTAACATAGCATTTATCGGCCGATACTGATATGTCCGCCGATATATTGTGCGACCCTAATTATTAAGCAAATAACATTAAGTACAGGACATGCGAAAAGCATTGTATAATCTGCTGGTTTTGAATAGAAAATGAATAACTTTATCCATGTCGTAGTATATATATTTTAAATAAAACAGTTTTACTAAAGAGTTATATTCATTACAATAAGAGGTTTTGATCACCTAGCATGTTTAGAAATAGAAAGATAATACATTTAAATTCAAACCAGTTATTATAAACTCCAAAACTTCAACTAAATTACAATTATTTTTAAGTTTTGAATTAAGTTGCTCTTGATTTTTGCTGATCATTCAGATTTTATAATATATTCATTTAGGTGTACATGATCTTGTTTTTTGTTCGATTAGTTCCAGTTTTGGCTTTGGTACAGCTTAATCTAATACATATGTGCAAATATATTATTGTAAAGCGTCTTTACGTCCTATAGAAAATATTCATTTAAAAGCGAGATCTGTGAGGCGTGTACTTATTTACGCTGAGCACTGTACATGTTAAACACAAAATACTTGATTTTACTTGGTTTCTCACTAGCTATGTTTTCATCCACCATTAAAACACTCAAATAAATTCTAGAATTGCCCATTATAATACATGCACATAACTGAATCTGATATATTATTAATCATACAAAATACACAAGTATAATTTACAACGGAAAGATTTTCTGAATAAATTCACTGATGCACATCAAACAAAAAAATCGTTAGATGAAGTGAATCAACAAATGATGTGATTCGATAACTAGATTAACTGGTGATCCCGTTGAATTTTGTAGTTTGGTCCGAGAACTTTCTTACACAAACATTTTCACATTCGTTTAACATCAGAATCTGCCTCCAAACACAAGATAACAAGACAGAATTTGTTTCTGCACGACTCTCTGAGGTGCAACTTTACAACTTCTACAATTGATTATTGAGTGCAGAAGAGATGAAGTCATCATACACACTTCTTCATACACTCACCGGCCACTTTATTTACTTTATTGATTACCGGGTTGGACCCCCTTTTGCTTTCAGAACAGCCTAAATCATTCGTTGCATCGATTCAACAAGCTACTGAAAATATTCCTCAGAGATTTTGCTCCATATTGACATGATAGCATCACGCAGTTGCTGCAGATTTTTCGGCAGCACATCCATGATGTGAATCTCCCATTCCACCACACCCCAAAGGTACTGGATTGAGATCTGGTGACCGTGGAGGCCATTTGAGTAGAGTGAACTCATTGTCATGTTCAAGAAGTCAGTCTGAGATGATTTACGCTTTATCACATGGCGCGTTATCCTGCTGGATCAGAAGATGGGTTCTCTGTAGTCATAAAGGGATGGACATGGTCAGCAATAATACTCAGGTAGGCTGTGGCGTCAACACAAGGCTCAATTGGTACTAATTAACACAAAGTGCACGAAGAAAATATCCTCTACACTATTACACCACCATCACCAGCCTGAACCATTGATGCAAAGCAGGATGGGTCCATGCTTTCATGTTGTTGATGCCAAATTCTGAAACTACCATCTGAATGTCACAGCAGAATTCGAGACTCATCAGACCAGGCAACGTTTCTCCAATCTTCTGTTGTCCAATTTTGGTGAGCCTGTGCGAACTATAGCCTCCGTTTCCTGTTCTTAGCTGACAGGAGTGGCACCCGGTGTGGTCTTCTGCTGCTGTGGCCCATCTGCTCAAGATTATTGTGTTGTGCGTTCGGAGATGCTCTTCTGCAGACCTCTGTTGTAACAAGTGGTTATTTGGGTTACTGTTGCCTTTCTATCAGCTGGAACCAGTCTGGCCATTCTCCTCTGACCTCTGGCATCAACAAGGCATTTGCGCCCACAGAACTGCCGCTCACTGGATATTTTCTCTTTTCTGGCCATTCTCTGTGAATTCTAAAGATGGTCATGCATGAAAATCCCAGTAGATCAGGAGTTTCTGAAATACTCAGACCACAGTGTCTGGCACCAACAACCATGTAACTTTCAAAGTCACTTTAATCATCATTCTGAAGCTCGGTATGAACTGCAGCAGATTGTCTTGATCATGTCTACATGACAAAAGGCATTGAGTTGCTGCCATGTGACTTAGAAATTTGCGTTAACGAGCAGTTGGACAGGTGTACCTAATAAAGTGGCCGGTAAGTGTACATTTGTACATTGTTTACCAAAAAATGATTCTTCTATGCTTGAAACAGTGTTTGATTTACAGAAATGGTCAGCAACATCTTAATTTTGTGCAACTTTGGATGGAAACTTAGCTAGTGGTAGAAATGCAAACCCAAGTAAGTAGTTCGACCTACCAAACTGAGGTTGCGTGCTAAAGCCCTGTTGGGGGTATCCCTGAGGCGCCCCGAACCCTCCTGTAGGTGGCGCTGCAACTAGAAATGCATTAAATGGAGAAGGAGCTTGTGCGGGTGCCCCACGGCCAGCGGGTAGAGGAGGTCCATACCCTGCTGAAACACAAGAGAGGGTTTTGTACATTTCACGCAACATTTTGTTAAGTCAAAACCCTTCAAGTCCACTGTGCATTAAGGGGCACCTATTTTACCCCTTTTTTAAGATTTAAGAGAAGTCTTTTGTGTCTCCAGAATGTGTTTGTAAAGTTTCAGCTCAAAATACCTTTCTAAATTTGGGAAATTCGAGCTGTTAGGACATTGTAGCTATTACTGCAAATGAGCTGGTTATCCCCACCCAACGTTCCCATATGAATGCCAGAGCCATAGAGATCTCTCTGTCTTGCTCTGTGTAGCTTTCACATAGATAAACAGCACAGTGACAGACAAGAATGAAGCAAATCTCCCTTACTACAGTAAGAACTTTCCCAATGCTTATTTGATGTATTTGTTGTGCAGTTAATTCAAGCCTTTCTGCAATGATGAGTCATATCGTCAATATCGTTATAAAGTGCGCACACACACAGACACACACACGTTTAGCTTTGCACTGTTTTTGCATGGCAAGTATGACAGGATACACGATAATATCCACTGCTGTATGGATACCCGTTATGTTAATGTACAAAACAAACTTGATTTACCGTCCACAAACTGGGATTAAAGATTCCTCTTTTATAATTATTCTAACATGCGGCTGTGGTGATGAATTACAATGATTTTACTGCCTTTCTTACAAGCATGCACTGTTTAAAAAACATTTTAAACTTGTAAAACTCATTCTTGGGGTGCAGAAGATCACAGAGAGCTCAACAGATCTTTTAATCAAAGATGATTTGCGCAAGTTCAGTCTTGTAGATATGATTATACATATTGCTATGGAGACATGTTAATACACGGCTGTCAATCAATTCGGTGGGCAGGGAAACTGCACTCCTACGTAATGTTGTGTTGGGCCTCAAAATTGCAGGGATTTGGATCCTAATTTAACATCAGGAAATTAAAAAAGAGAGACTTATTGTGTTTATATCATGCCAATATGACTGAACACACTATACCTGCACACAGTTCTGTCCAAACAGCTTACAAAAGATGATTTTCATCAAAGGTGCCCTTTAATGCAAAGCAAGAATAATTTTTTTCCCTAAATAACTTTCTGCACCCACTACACACACAACAAAACACCAAACCTTTTTAGTTTTCTGAAAAACCTATTCAGAAAATTAAAATGACAAAAATCCAATTAACCAAATAGTTTCTACAAATAAATATATAATAATACACACATGCACGCTAGGGCTGTGCGATTAATCAAAATCGAATCGCAATTTGAAACGTTGCGAATAGCTAATCGCAAGAGGCTGCGATATGAAATATGTTGTTTAATTTTTTCCCGCCTCGAGCAAATGCGTGACTGTTATCTGTGTGTGATAGTCTCACTAGCCAATTGAGTGAGCACACTTTCGTTCTGCCTAATCAGAATTGCGCAACCGAAATATGTGGAAAGCCCACAATAAAAACAATCAAACATAAAAGAGAGGGATGATAACGAGAGAAAAAAAAAAGACATCGGTAATATAGGAATATTTTAGTTTTAAAACCACAGGTTTTTATTTGTGTTCTTTTACCTTTATTTGTGTTCTGTTTTTATTTGTTTTCTGCTTTCTGTATACACACACATACACTACAGCCAATTTAGCCCACTCAATTCACCTCTATCACATGTCTTTGGACTGTGGGAGAAACCGGAGCACCCGGAGGAAATGCACACCAACACGGGGAGAGCATGCAAACTCGGACATGCCAAGTGACCCAGCCGCGGCTGGAACCAGCGACCTTCTTGCTGTGAGGTGATCGTGCTACCCACTGCGCCACCGTGACACCCCTGAAGTTACTTTATATCGTAATAATATTTTCTAATGCTTTAATGCTTTGATCAATGAAGCTCTGGTCAGCGAGTGAGACTTTTTCAGAAAAACTCTAAATAATACGAAACTATACAATTCTCCAAAACTACTCAAATCAGTTTAGTTTTAAAGGGCACCTAGGTTACCCCTTTTTTCAGATTTATTATAAGTCTTTTGCGTCTCTAGAATGTGTATATAAAGTTTCAGCTCAAAACACCCATCAGATTTTTCATTATACCTTTTACAAGATGCTGTTTTATACTGATTTCCAGCAGGGGGTGGTTTTGTCGTACTGCGCCTTTAAGACGAGTCTTTCCCGCCTACTGTTTCTACGTGCTTTCCCGCGTGCTTTAATCTCCTTAAAGCACATCAGACAACAGACAGACTTAAAGGAAGAAGGTCTCACGTAGTGTTTGTGAGAAATACTACAGTAAGAACTTTACTAATCAGTATTTGTTTAAAGTTGCATTGATGAGTTACACGCAATATTGTTACAAAGTTTACACACGCGCACACACACACAGATACAGACGTACACCGCAGCTGACACACACACACACACACAGACAGGCAGGCAGACAGATAGATATAGCGCGCTTATGTGACAGGATACAGGCTAATCTCCACCGCTGTATGGATATCTGTTATGTTATCGTACAAAATAAACCCGATTTAACGTCTACAAACCGGGATGGAAGCATTTTCCTTTATACTTGTTCTGACACGCGGCTGTGCTGATGAAGTGAAGCTGAAGTAAAACGCTGTAATTAATTACACACATACTCTGTTTTAAAACACTTTAAACATGTGAAACTTACTCTTAATCACATTTGATGATGATTGCTGATCCTAGCGAACAGAACAGACCTTTTATTCCCGGTTGCTTTGCGTATGTCTGCCTGGTCTTGTTGACATATACACGTGACTACCGGAACATGTTAATGCACGCAGCTGTCAATCAATTCGGTGGGCGGGGGGACCGCACTCCTACGTAAAGTTGCGGTCGGTCTGTAAACCGCTCCAATTGGTCCCCCATTTTTATGTTGTTAAATTGAAAAAAAAAAAGGACTGGGTGTGTTTATATCACCCCAATATGATGGTCTATACACTATATATACACATATGTTTGTCCAAATAGATTGAAAAGTAGATTTTTCACCATAGGTGCCCTTTAAAATCCTCAAATAAAACAATGTCCAAATACAACCAAATCAAACCGTAATATTAAAACAGAACATACCAAGCGGTTGACCTGTAGACACCCAAACACCTGAGAGAGAGAGACAAAGAATATCGGTCACAACCAGCACACTATTACTCAAGTACACCACTTGTGAATTCAAAACGCATTAAGAATTGTACATCTAATGGGGGTGAAGCCAGAAGGCGTTCAATTAAAGCATGACATTTCTGAACTCGCGCCAGGCAGAGCAGGCTCATATTTTGGGTGAGATCAATGTGAAAATGTTCCCCCCTGCATAGTGGACAAAGCCACTGTGGCTTATCCAGATGGCACAAACAGCGCAGGCTGACCTACAGCAAAGCGTCACTGATATCCATTGGCTCTCAGTATCATTTTTCAGGGTGAGGCGTGTTACGCTCCTGCTGCCACAGTTCTGGCCCACAGTGTCACTCACCCTGAGGCCCGTAGCTCTGCTGCCAGGTCGGGGCCGGTTGTGCTGCCCAGCCATTGGCTGCGCTTATGATGGCTCGGGGCCCCCACTGATTGGCTCCCAGCTGACCAGGGGCGGGAGCTTTGCTGTCCCTAGGCTCCGCCTTCTTCACTTCAACCTGCACAAAGGACAAGAGGTCGTAACTAGCGAGAGGGAATTAACATACTGCCTACTCCCTTCACAAACTTTAGCCCTCACCTCACAAACTATACTCTAACTTAGGCCAAATACATGACCGGAGTCCAGACAAATTATATATTCTTGGACTATTTATTAACTTTATCAAATGTTTCTCAGGTACTTGGCTATGAAATTCACATTAGGTACTACTCACTAACACCCTATGGGTCAGATGTGGCAGGATGAGTCCTGCTTAAACTTGAGAATTATACATATTTCATAATTATATACGTTTTATGTGCACAGACGTACCTGAGAAACACCGTCATCCCTTTAGAATATATCTTATATCTCAGCTTTTTTAAACTGCTAATAGAAAATAAAGACTTACCTGCCCTGGCTAATGCTTAAGAACTTCACTTTAGATACGGCAATCACAACATAAGGGTCAATGATGTATGATAATCTAACTGTACCAAATAATTAAACATGCAAATAAATAAAAAATGGAGACATCTAATCAGAGAGGAATCTTCATACTGTGTCACATGTGAAATTAAAATGGCTTGATTGTGTTTGCACTTAATGCTATGGTGTTGTGGTTTACACGGTTGTTAAAGTTTTCTTTGTGTTAGGCACATCTTTGAGGTTGTTTAACAGTCCCAGATTAAAAATCCACTACAAAGACTGCAGTATTCTCTCTTTTGGCCTTTTTTTATGGCCAATTGGTTACATGCACAGCTAGTGTTTTTCAGCCAATGATGAACGTCTGGTGAAATCTTTATAAACATTTTCAATTTCATAATGTTCCTCTTACAGCATCGATGTTGTAGTGTAATAAAAATATAAGCACTTAATTAGATTCAGGCATTCATTTAGATGTTAAAGCGTAAAAAGATACGAAATACCGCTTAAACGCAGGCGCCGTCATTAGCAGCAGGCTAGAACAAAAGCTCTATTGAAAATACTGATATTTTTGTGAAGGACTCTGGAAGTTGTTGCCTAAAGAGAGCCTCTACTGGATGTTCATTATCAGTATTTTACTGCTAAGTTGCTTCCAATGTCTTTTCACTTCTAATCCAGCGACTTTCAAACTAGGGGTTATAAACATTTTTAAATAAAGCAATTAATAAATAAATATGATATGCAGTGCTCAGCATATATAAGTACACCCCTGACGAATCTATCTTTTAAATGAATATTTTTTTATAGAAAGCTATACAATATAATATATATGCATATACAATAGATTGGTCAGTATTAAAGCCAAATCTGGAGCTTATCTAACAAAATAACTTATGATAACGGTCCAGAAACTAGTACAGCCAAATGTATATGCTATAGAAAAATAATAAATACAAATTTAAAAAAGAGAAAAAAAAATCCAGAAGCAAAAAAAAAAAAAAAAGGGAGAATTTGATTGAAATTTTATAGGTTTTAATTTCTTTTTCCAAAATTTAGCTTGACTTTAATTGTATTATCTTTCAATTTCTAAAGATGTTTGAAAATATTATTTTAATAACTATATCTGTATAATGAATCTCTTTTGTTTAAGTGTTAAGTGCACAAAAATACATTGCCCATTTTCGCTGTACTCAATTATGCTGATCACTGTAATTATTAATCACTATTTTTTAGGGTGATTTAACATATTAGTTTAAAAGACAAATACACAAAAAACAATTAAATCAAAATTGGAACAGAATTACACTACCGGTTAAACGTTTGGGATCAGTTTTTTTTTTTCATGCTTTTTCATTCTGTTCATCAAGGCGGTATTTATTAAATGTAAAAAAAAAACATTTAATTGCTAAATATTTATAAAAATGTAAAATAACTGCTTTTTTATTGTATGTAGTTTCAAATAAAAATATTACTCCAGTCATTGCTTTTTAACAACAACAATAATAACAACAATAATAATAATACATTTAAAATAATAATTAATATAATATAATATACAAATATTAATATTAGAGTGATTTCTGAAGAATCATGTGACTGAAGACTGAGACTGGAGTAAGGAAGCTGAAAATTAATCTTAAAATCACTGGAATAAATTGTTAAATGAAATTATAAACCACTTTTGAACAGATATTCTATAGTGCAATAACATTTCACAATTATACAATATGTACTGTATTTTTGATTGAATAAATGCAGCCTTGGTGAGCAGGAGAAGCTTATTTTAGAACATTAAAAAATCCTACTGACCCTAAACTTTAGACCGGTAGTATATATATATATATATATATATATATATATATATAATTATTAAAAATGTGGTTTAATTACAAACAAATAATTGCAATACATTAAATAAATAAATTACAAATTTGATTAAAATAAATCATTTATCTGACCAAAATAAAAAATGTAAGTAAATAAAAGCAATACTATAGTAATAAAAAAACTAAAATAAATTAGTTTTGGGTCTTTTTACATCAGATAAAGGACAGGTTTCCCTCAGACTAGTGTAAGCGGTAAGTTGAGGTCTCCAGTTCACTTAACAGCCAACGAGTCTTCAATGAAAAAAGTTTCCTGATTCTCCATGAAACCCCTTTAAAGTCACGGTGTAACGAAAGCAACAAATATATCAAACAAGGCAGATCTGAATGCAAGCTCGCCTTTGATTCAAATAACGGGAAAGATTTCAACATCCTAATGATTGAAGACAGCATCACGGGTCTGTCTTACATTTATTCAATTCAATTCATCTTTATTTCTACAGCCCTTTTACAATATAAATTGTGTCAAAGTAGCTTAACAGAAGTTCTAGTAAATCGATACCGTGTCAGTCCAGTTTTCACAGTTGAAGTTCAGTTCAGTGCGGTTTAATTTTCACTGCTGAAAGTCCAAACACTGAAGATTTTTATTCATCTGTCATAAAAAACAAGCTCATAAAAATAAAGCATGGACGATCACAAAAGGTCCACTTTCAAAGTAATCTCCTTAAGATTCAGGAAATCCTATGTTTAGCAAAATGAGAAAGACTCATGCCCTTAATTAACACTAATTATATAATTACCCAATTAAGTCAAAGGCATTCTATTACCTGCCACACTGATTTAAAAAAAAGGACAAACTTAGTTTAATACACGCAGGGAAGTTTCACTTGAGCTCAAGTGGAGATCCAGAAATAGACTTGAGACTCTAAAGGGGGTGAGTTATTGGGGTCACCTTGCATCAAGAGCGAGAGACAATATTTTTCCGTTGGAAAGCAGCATAAATGTAATGACTCGCTTTTCATCTCTCTCTCTCCTCCTCTCTCACTGTCGACCTAATTAGGTATCAGTTTGAGCGAGTGGTCTGCAACCCTCAAATCGGCAGCACGGCCCCCCCACTCCCGCGGGCATCACTGCTCAGAGTGATGGGAGGCCTCGCGCAAGCCTCCGCGTCCAACAGCAGAGCTGGGATTTGGTACACAGTTTGATATGCTCCAGTTTCTAATTTTATAACGTATAGCCCCACCTCCCTTAAAACCCCAATGAAAAAATGTCACGAGAAGAACAATAGCCCAGGTACCGTAGCACCTGATTCCTTCAGGAACGCAGAGCCGAGTCAAGGAGAGCGTCGGCAGGCAAGAACAAACTCAATGTAGGACAGAAACTGCGGAGCTATTCTGGAGTCTCAAACAAACTCGCTGGAAGAGGTTTTTCCACTTTAAATCAGCAAAGTGCAGTCATGACAGAGCAAGGAAATGCCCCGGGAGACAAAGCGCTGAAAGTCCAAGACTCTCTTCTGCGATTGGCTTCGCATTCATATTAGTCAAAATGTGTGAGAATGCTAGAGTTATATGAACTTCGTCAAACAGGCCATGCTGGGAGTGATTCTCGAAGTGGAGCTGGTGAGGTGAGATAACGCGTCATGCGACTCGTTCAGCCTTGCGCTATCCCGCAAAACAGACCAATGCACCTAAGTATCAGACAATAATCTAACGCTACAGAGACTTCTGCTACCCGCCCAGGGCTTTACATTCATTTTTTAGATCACCAGCCACTGTGGCTAGTAGATTTCCAACATTACTAGCCATTTTCACTAGCCATAATTTTGTTGTTTGGAAAATATATTTTATATAAATAAATGTGACTTTCACATGCTAAAATGACTTGATTTAGATGTTGTGTTGTCCACATTCCTCCTCATTCATTTCACTGTTTGTGTGTGTTGTGTATGAGCTTGCCCACTGTGCATGAGCAATAGTGTTGTGTCGCATTGCAATTGGTTTTTATTTCACATGATTTTTTAGGGCTCAGAATAAAGGTTTTACCAAAGTCATCTCTAACCATACCAAAAATAAATAATTATTTCTTAGCCACATATTTCAATCTGTCAAAACAAGCAAATATATAGCTGTATACATACCTTTTTACAACAACAAAAAAATCTTTTTTTTTTTTAAATTAACATTTAAAAATATCTTTTCTCATATATCTAAAATATGCACAGTAATCTGTCCTGGCTAAAGGTCCTAGATCAGCAGTTACTACACAAAAATGGGTTAATCTCCTAGTAAAGCAATGTTATTGTAAAGGATGATAATTCAACTATATTAACAAAAATAACTGTAAGCAAAAGAAAGCAGGTAAAAACATACCATGTGTGATAATGAAAGGATGATCACGTGCTTAAGAATAATTAAAACAAAAGCAGTGACTGCTGCTGTTGCTTATATATATATATATATATATATATTTCAATCTTGAGCTCTTGAAAGCAGCAGGACTGTGGATACACGCGAGCATCGTTTTTTGTCTAGTCTTTTTCAAAGAGAACCGATCGCAAGTCAACGAAAAAAAGCGCAAGTAAACGGGAGCGCGCACGCTTTTTAACAGTCGCGCGCATCACATCACCTGTGGGCGCGAGTAATCATCCTCTTATACGGTATTCACCTGCTTTGCTTCTCGATTTTAAGATCACATTTGCACGCATATTGGGCCATCCTTGTTGTCGAACCCTGCTTTAAGAAAACTACAATGTAAAAATTATTTCCAACCTGCCAAAGTGGCTAGTGGGAGCGGCTGTCTAACCCGCCAAAGCTGAAATCTACCCGCATTTGGTGGTGTTAATGTAAAGCCCTGTACCCACCCAAAGCCCATATTAAGTGGACTAACAAACACAGTATGGAGATTCGCATATTGAGGTCACTTAATTGAGATTTCTCTTTGCCTTCTGGGATATTACAGAGCTCAAATAGTAAGTGACCTGACAGTAACAACCTGAATAAAATGAAAAAAGAAAGGAAAAAAAAAAAAAAAGAGGAAACCAACCGGTTCTTTAGGTGAGTGCTGATGTAATGCTTGAAATTTCCCTTTGTATTTTGATGTGGTGATCCTTTATAATGCAATAATGATAGCAAAGTATGCTATTAATTTAATGAGTGCTAATTAAGGTAAGTCACTTTATACATCATTACAGCACCTAAAGGAGCGGTTCAAATGAACCAAGCCTTGGGTGACTAACATGGTAAAAACTATTACACAATAAATAACTTATACTTTTTAAACTTTTGTAAACTTCCCCCTGATTGGGAGACTAATATTTAATCCTGTTTTTCGTTCATAAAGAAAGAAAAACCGACATTTGACATATGTTTGGTCGCCCAAGCTTTAGTTTCTGTTGTAGGGGAAAATAAAACTACAACTACACACTTTTTTGCCCATGATGTCGTGAAAATGCATGTTGACAGCCTGGTCCACTGATTGTTCGGCCTCGAAAGTAATAAATCCAAAACCTAGCCAACGACCAAAAGTCAACAGAGCAGCAGGGTGTTGGGACAGAACAGCTAGAAGAACATAAGAGGGATGGGGTGGGGGATCCCTGAGGTTCAGATGACAATGCGGCCCGAGTCACCAGGAAAAGATCACAGGTGGAGGCCGAAAGGACAGAGGCGTTGCGTATTATCCTGCGTTACTTTAACCCTGAACATAGTGAATGATTAACAGCTGTCGAAGGCGTCTGATAACTGAGGTCTTATGCAACCTCAAGCGTGCTGATGACAGGAGGATCCTCGCTGTTTTTAATTTTTTGAATATAGTCACGTGCATATTTCTGCCTTTCACGTTTCATCTGAACCTCACTTCCATCACCACCCCGATCTTACACAACAAATGCGAGCAGCAACCACAGTTATCAATGCATAACAAGAATGATCATTACAACTACAGCTGCTTTTCTCAAAGCTTCCCAAAATGCCTTAGTACTTTGGGCAAACCGAGAGAACAGAGATTATAACGCTGCAACAAGAGCACCACAGGGATATAAGGATATTTGTGAAACATGTAATGCAGCCCAGTTTCTCGTGTGGTGTAAGCCCAGTTAATGCTCATCCAGAGACCCGCTCAGAGACTCGGGGACGGTGAAAAAGATGCGACTGCGTGCACCCTCGCGTGCAGGGGTCGCGCAGGCAGAACTATCAAAGTGGGCCGCTGAAGCGGAGCGCGAATCCAAGGTCACTTACGCGATAAGACAGAGCACAATCCTCCAGCAGCAGCTGAGTTTAGCTGTGCCAGGTCCACCAGTGTGAACTAGTTTCTGTCAGATCAGATAACTGTGGCAGAACTGGGCTGCGAGAATCTCCACTTTGGGATCTAACCTGATTCCGATTGCACGTCCTTTGAGACTGAAGAGATCTGAGAATTCATACACTATGTGGAGCAGAACCATCCGTCTAAATGAGGACTAAATATACCCAACCTGCCCTTCATCATCAGGCCTAGTTTCATTAAAGTAGAAAGCTGCCACTTAAAGAGGCTTTTAGAAGTCGATATCAAGCGCTTCTTCCTCTTTAAGACTAGATCTGATCAAAACTGGCTAGCCAACGGGTAATCTGGACTACATATTGACTTAATTGTCTTACAAATGTCCAACTTAAAAGTTAACTATTATTAGTTTTCATGCCACAAGATCCTGAGATGTACTTCTAATAGGACATGAAGATGCACACGATACTTCAGCAACTTTTTCCTTAAAGAGATTGTTCACCCAAAACTAAAAATGACCTAATCATTTACTCATTTACTCTTCATCATGTTGTTTTAAACCTTCAAGAGTTCGTTTCTTCTATTGAACAAAAACGAAGATCACTTAAAGAAGAAAGTTTGCTGGCACAGAATGATTCAATAGACCATTTTGAGGGATGTAAACAAAACAATGGTCCCAATGTATTTCCTGTTTTCCATTTTTAATTTTTATAGCTTCCGAGAATCCAAAAAGAGACACATATTAATAAATAATGCTATGATAGCTGCTTTAACATTAAGTTATGATTAAATTGCCTCTTGTTACAGTTATGAAATAGTTCGATAACAAGCAGGAAATGTTCATGGACCAATGACATGACCACATTGAAATGGTCTATAGTAGGAAAACAGTTAATATGGAAGTCAACGGGTACCAGCAACCAGTTGTGTTCAACAGAAGAAAGAAACTCAACTAAGTTTGGAATAAGTGAAGAGTAGAATTGATGTAAATGATGGCAGTGCTCATGGAAATGACCATTTTTGGATGAATTCTCCCTTAAAGTGGAATGAATTTAGAGACACAACCTTATGAAGAGTGTGACCATGCTGAAAGTATTTCAAGCTAATCCACAGCACTCTAAAACCCTCTCCATGAAGATGTATCTCTTAATTTATTTCCAAACACTAGAGTACTAGATGAACAACTAGTCCTGAGCCATCCCTGTTACAGTCAAATATATTTCGAGGGAGTCCTGCATACATACTAGGGTTGGGAAGATAAGTTAATGCCAACGTCCATCGCTGACAGTGTTGCCAACTTGGCAATCTTGTTTTTTTATACTACCCTAGCAACATTTTTTTTTTTCAAAAATCACCTAGCAACAAATTTAGCAATTTTTACCATTAATTTGGCTACTTTTAGCTATTTTAAAAGAGTAAATTGCAAGCTCAGATTGTTTTGCATAACTGTTAATTTACTGATATTTGTTAACATGTATAATTGTTGGTAATTTAGCTAGCAATAAATTCCAATAGTGCTAAATTTGTTGTCACTTTCACAAATGTCAAATGTGTTAATTTCACAAGTTAAAAAGAGTAAGTGCACAAGCTGTGATTGTTTAAAAGAATGAAACTATTTATTAGCAGTTTTATAGTTAAAAATATAAAATTCTGCTCAAAAAGTGTTTGTATTACTTTTACAAATAGTCAACTCTATTTTGCATACAAATCTAAATGGACAGATTTCAAATAATGTTTTTGCTGAGACGCCTAGTCAATTTGAGAAAACATGAATTATTTTGTATACTACATTAAGATGTAGTTTTGAGTTGCGATTACGCAATGACGTCATCACACAAAGAAATATGCTAATAAAAACGTATTTATTGTGCATCTGGATGTAATGTTTTAATGTAAAATAAAATAATACACTGCGCCTCAGAGAGTAGAGTCATGACGGGCTTACGCTTGTCAGATACTATGTAATGACGTCACTTCTATGCAAATTAGCGCGTGATGTCATCTGGCAACATTTAGCTACTTTTCAGGCAGGCTTTAAGTACTTTTCATTGGGAATAGTTGACAACTCTGATCGCTGATTGCCGATAGACAACACGATTCTGAGCTGGCATCGCGATCCTCCGCCCCCGTCGCAGCAGTAATTTGCTTGCAAAAAATCCACACGGCACTGTTAACACTAATACGTCTTAGTTTTAAAATGGCATTTTAGAACGAAAACAATCCACGTCAACACTGGGGTTTCACCTAGAATTTCTGAAAAGCCCTGATAAACGCTTTTCACTTGACCACACACACATACAAACACACTGTCATGCGCTGCAGCATAAGAGCGAGTCTGAGCTCCAGCAGTCAGCGGGTGCTTTGAGCACAAAACCCCAGAGATCAGTGCACGTCAGACAGTTTATCAAGGATGTACCGCTGGATCGCGTCTCACTATATTTGTTAAAACGTGATATTTAGCGACTCTTCTGTCTTTTTAATCTATCAGGTAATGTGTTACAGCATCAGTACACTGCTTCAATTGTTCGCTTTTACGCTTGTACTTAGTAATGTTAGTGAAAACCTCAGAAACTGTTGGTTGTGCACCTTTTTTACCAACCAAGTTTGTTGACGCCATTATATATGACTCTGCCTATTCATTCTACTGACAGGTGGTGATTTGTGTGTAATTTATCTTTATTTATTCATGATTTGGTTATCGGTAAAACAAAGACCATGCAGGTCAGACAGTTGAAATGGTAGGCTACAAATAATAAATTCGATATGAATTAATTAATTAACCAATAATAAAAATTCACCGCCGCCTACGACGAAATTAGACATTGTACAATGTCAAATTGGTAGTCATCGCCCAACCTTAAAACATACAGCTACTGAGAACAAAACCCTGACTCTAGTGTATAAATATTTTAACACTGAATTTCTCAACAGGAACCCATAAGAAAAAGGAAGAGTCGCAGTGTTTAGCTGGGTACAAGCTGAAGCATTAACCGTGTTTACACCAGAGAAACGGACATGAGTGCGTTTCACACCAGGCCTTAATCTGTGTGGTGCCACTATCTGTACTGTATCCTACAAGAAAGAACAGACATATCTCAGGAAAAACGTTAATGCATTCAAACACTTGACAAGGAAAACAGGGACATAAAAAGAAAGATAGAAAGGCTTACTTAAATGCACTACATTGCAATAAACACAGATTTTGTAGATCAATAAAATATAAATATGCATAAAAAAAACTTACTTAAATATGTCTACAGGTTAATAGGAATTAATTTTAGTGGTTTGAAATTTAATAAGACAACTGCAAATGTTCACAAGACAAACCATTCCACATGAACCCAACGAGAGTGAAATGTCAGAAGCATTTTAGGTGGAAACATTTTCTGGGAGACAAAGAACATGGCTGGAGCGGATGTCAAAATTACACTGCAAACTTTGCATGAACACTACTGTTTTTTAAAATGAAAAGGCTGTTCTATTTATTTCTTCAGTTTTATTGAGGGCTATGTTTCACATTGAATCATGTTAGTGCCACAGTCCATTTTACTAGATAACTGTTATGGACTGTTATGGTCAGCGCTGGGGAAAGTTCCTTTTGAAAGTAATGCATTACAATATTGAGTTACTCCCCAAAAAAGTAACTAGTTGCGTCACTTAGTTACTTTTTATGGAAAGTAATGCATTACGTTACTTTTTCATACCTGCCTGAGGCTTGATGTCTTTCAGAACTTGCAGGGTGTTTTTTTTTTTTTTTTTTTTAAATAGAGGAGCTCTGCATTTACCAACACAACAAATAACCTACACTTTCATTTACCTTAAAAAAGTAATAATTAAAAAAAGTTAGAATAATGTTACCTTCTGAGAACTTCCTGATGCTGTACATGCCGTATATAAAATCAATGTCCATTGAGACAATAATCCCCTTTTCTTTTATGTGTTCAAAAAATGACAATACTTCTATCTCAAAAATGTAAGGCTCTGCCATCTTGGTTTTTGTCTGAACGAATTAATAACTAACCAATAAACCCATTTAAACATGATTAAGACAATTCTCCGATTAAGATCTTTTGACTATTATGATTATCTTAATCCGACTAAAGTCATAATCGAACTAAACAGAAATCAAATTAAGACATGTTGAGTATTCCGATTGAATACTGAAGTGCAGTACAGACGTGTAAACACCGCAATCAAACTATTAAATTACATGAAACTCTGGAAGAAATGTGGATAGCGCAGTGATGCAATGACGTTAATCGATCTATGTGCTATAACGTGTAAAACGGGATCATGAAAGGCACATTCAAAAAGCAACTCATGTAAACACCTTTAACATATTATTGTCTTATTCAGATTAGGGCAAATGATTCGATTACTCATGTCTAGGCCTATACGGAATCTGTGCTCAGAGATCCCCATCATTGAGTCTTTTTTTTTATGGTGTAAATCTGAGCAAATTTATTCTGTTTTTTATCATTTCAGAAATATTATTTACATTAGAAAGTGTTAATTTGATTTATTTACAATACAGTTTGTAAAGTAATATTAACTGTCTTTTAGTGGATATATTATATGAGAGACTTGCTTTGTTTACCAAATAAAGTGGATCTAATTGAATTTTGCATTGTAAACATTGCATACAAGTTAAAAAGCTTTTATTTTTAATTTCATATATATTAAGGTTTTAGTTATGATACGAATAATTCCTCAGACTTTTTACAAAATTCTCAGCAGAAATAGCAAAAATGTCCGCAGATTCTGTCTGACCCTACTGATGTCCATGTAAATGTAGTCAATGACTGTGATTCAACATGATTACACTGATTTCAATTCAGCAAAAAGTTTTTTAAAAAGTGTAGTCATTAATCTAAAAAGTCACTTGAGTCACATCTTTAAAAAAGTAACTCAAATATTATCACTTAATTTTTTAGGTAATGCGTTACTTTACTCGTTTCTTTAAAAAAGTAATATTATAACGTAACTCATGTTACTTGTAATGCGTTACCCCCAACACTAGCTATGGTGAATAGGTAATGGCTGGATAATAAAACAACGGCTCTATTAAAGTGTTTACAAAAATATAATGATCACATGTTGTTCTGTTATTTATTTTTTACCGTGGAATTCAAGTCGTATGAGTTCTTTAAGAAAAGTATAAACTCTGTCAAACATTTTTCTATTAAAATGCAAGACACAAACAAAAATACTTTTTTTTTTTTTAGTAAAAAATGTTGAATTGATTTTTTTTCAGAATTTTCATGGCTAATGTAGTTGTGATCTTTTAGTCTCAAAGGCAAAATCTATTGTTGTTTTTCATTTTTTAAAATGCACCATTAAAATGGCTAATGAACTTTAAAGGGCACCCATTTTACCCCTTTTTCAAGATTTAAGAAAAGTCTTTTGTGTCTCCAGAATGTGTTTGTAAAGTTTTAGCTCAAAACACCCATCAGATTATTTAATATACCTTTCAGAATTTTGAATTTTTCTGCTCTGAACACTGCTCTGTTGCCTGTGCCTTTAATGCTAGCTCTCCCAGCCCACCGTTAATCTCCGGCTGCGTCAGATAAGCAGCACAGTGACAGACATGAAGGAAGCAGATCTCACGTAACGTTTGTGAGAAATACCACAGTAAGAACTTTCCCAATGATTATTTGATGTGGAGTTCATTCAAGCCTTTCCGCCATGATGACTCACACTTTGCACTGTTTTTGCACAGCAAATGTGACAGGACACTTGTTAATATCCACTGCTGTAAAGATATCCTTTATGTACAAAATCAACCTGATTTAACATCCACAATCCGTGATTGAATCGTCTTATTTTATAATTGTCCTGACATGCGAATGTGGTGATAAAGATGGTAAAAATCGATGTAATTTATTAAACATGCACCATTTTAAAAACATTATATACTCATTCTTGATCACATTTGATGATTGTTGATGATCACAGTCAGCTGAACAGATCTTTTAATCCTGGTTGCTTTGTGCACGTCCTGTCTTGTTGATATAATTATACATGTTACTACGGGGACATGTTAATACACAGCTGTCAATCAAACCAGTGGGCGAGGAAACCACACTTGTGAGTCATATTGCAGTGGGGCCTCAAATTGGGAGAGATTTGGATCCTATTTTAATGTCAGGAAATGTAAAAAAAGAGACTTATTTTGTTTATATCACTCCAATATGACTGTAGACACACAGTTCTGTCCAAACAGCTCACAAAAGATGATGTAGAGATCATAGGTGCCCTTTAAGTTCATTAATAAACCTCCTGCATGCACAATCATCATTTTAAAAGAAGTGCCTCCAATTCTGTAATTACAAAAAAAAAGATGTTTCTAAAAGAAATAAAAGAACAGCAAACAGGTTTGAATAAAATAAAGGAAAAAGCACTTTTAATTTCTGGATGAACTACTCTTTTTTTAAAAACAAGTGGATCTGCAAGAAGCTGCATTATCTGAGCACGTTTAATGCAAATGTCGGCGTGCCATGTGGATGCTGCTGATTTGCCACCATGCAAAAGTTGAGACGCACCAAACCAAGCATGGCGCACACATGAGAGGGACGGATGGCCTGCGTGATGTTCGCTTCTCTTTGGGTTGGAATAGTTTGTCTTGCGGATGAGGTGAGAGAGACTGAATGGGAGCAAATATGAATGTGTGGTTTACCTCGAGGCCTCTGTTTCTCTGCGTCATAGATCATTACCACCTCTGTGACCTTCAAAAGGAGAACAGGACCCGTGAAGGACAAAATGGAGAGCAAAAAGGCATCATATATAAAATACTTCATACAGAGGGGTCTAAATGTGTGGCAAAATGTACGATCTACGTATAAAATAATGCTCAAATGGACCGTACTGACGATCTGGTCCTTTTGACCTCCACTGTAAATAAAGAGTTCAGATGCAAAAACCTTTAAGTGCCGTCTGAAATGTTCTTCTAATATGAGCATTTTTCTCAGTCTCCTGCAGTTAATAGATTATTTTCATTACCTTCAAAGTGAAATAATTGAACATAAACATATGAGGCTAAGAAAAGTGTCCGTTCAAGAAGAACGTTTCAGACAGCATTTAAACCAGACTGAATCTGAACTCTTCATATGCTCTTTTGAACACTGTATAACAATACTATGATTATTTTTTTTCTATTAGAGTCATCACAGTCTCAATGAAGACAAATGGTACATTTCTGCATCTGTGTCCATCTCACCACTCCAAATCGGTTGAAGTAATCCCTGAGTTCAGCTTCACCGCAATTATGAGGTATTCCACCCACAAATATCTTCTTAGATTTATTACTGTCACTTTTGCTTCCTTTCTAAAAAAAAAAAAACACACACACACAAAATGTTTTAGCTTTTCTGGGGGAAATAAAATAAAATTAAATTAAATTAAAATAATTAATTACAAATAAAATTTAAAAAAATAATAAAATCCAATCAGTTTTTTAATAAAATAAAAAATAAAATGAAAAAATAAAATAAAATAATTAAATAAAAAAATAAAAATAAAAAAAATAAAATAAATAATAAATAAATAAAATAAAATAAATCCAATAAAAAATAAAATAAATTAATAAATGACAAATGAAATTAATTTAAAAAAAATAAACATAAAATAATTAAATAAATAAAAAAATTTATTAAAAAATAAAATTGAATGTCTTTAAATAGCTTTCAGACTCTAATAATAAAACTTTTAAATTTAAAAAACTAAAGTGGCTGAACATTTTTAAGTCCTTACCCAGCCGTCTTTTGTCCGGGTCTTCTCGGGCTGCATACCTCTCGGTGTACAAGGCTTTGGGTCGATCTACAAGAATATACAGACAGCACTTACTCAGTAAAAAAACATCTAAACCATTATGCCATTAGAACAGAAGTTCTTGACTCTGAGGGTCACAAGCAGCAGATGTCTTTAAGTGCATTAAATGCGATGCAATTTTCAAGACTAGGCAGAGTGATTTATCGGTCATTTTCCTCACATTTCTTCCATCCAGGTTATGAGGTTTGGTGTCCAGGACCGTGCGTACGCAATTGGGGTCTTTAAACTTCACAAAGCCAAAGCCCCTGGACTGATTTGTGCTTTTATCTTTCATGATGACGCAGTCCACAACCTCTCCGTATTGAGAAAAGTAGTTTCGTAAAGTCTCTAACAAAACAAGGAAAGAAACAGTTAGCCAAAAGGTGCATTAAATACATGATGATCAGGGGTTCTGAACTGATGGTGTTCTGACAGGATCACATTCAGAAAGCTCAGTCAAAAATTCCGTTACATAAAAAATAGAGTTGGGCGACACGGTGGCGCAGTGGGTACACAATCACCTCACAGCAAGAAGGTCGCTGATTCAAGCTTCGGCTAGGTCAGTTGGCATTTCTGTGTGGAGTTTGCATGTTCTGGCCCTGTTGGCATGGGTTTCCTCCGGGTGCTCCGGTTTCCCTCAAAAGTCCAAAGAGCTAAAGCTAAGCTAAATTGGCCGTAGTGTACATGTGTGAATGAGTGTGTATGGGTGTTTCCCAGTGATGGGTTGCAGCTGGAAAGTCATCCGCTGCTTAAAACATATGCTGAATAAGTTGGCGGTTCATTCCGCTGTGGCGACCACTGATTAATAAAGGGACTAAGCCGAAAAAAAATTGAATGAATGAAAAATAGAGTTGGGCAGCACAGTGGTTAGCACTGTTGCTTCAAAGCATGAAGGTCTCTGGTTTGAATCGCGGCTGGACCAGTCAACACATGTTTCAGGACACACGATCCAGGCGACATGATCTAGGCAGGGACGAACCATATGTGGTTATGATGGATGTCATTAATATATGTTTATATATAGTGTTAATAAATATTGTACCCAATAGACAATAGTGTACACTATTTCAAAAATATGCAGATAGAGATGATCTAGGCGAGACAAAGTAATTTTTTATTTTAATTTGAGTAATAAAACTGCACAAATGTTAAAATGGTTACGATATAATAATGAAATGACTGAAATGGGAAACACTAAACTGTTGACAGTCTAATGAACAGTAATCGTAGCACAGACGGTCTCGATCGCCATGTTCGTGAAATTCAGTAGGTGTTGATTAGTCATCGTTAAACTTAATTAAGCATACATGGTTTGTCCCTGCCTAGGTCGTGTTTCCTGGATTTTGTGTCCTAAAATGTATGTGGGTCTGCAGCTGGTGTGGAGTTTGCATGTTCTCCCCATGTTCACGTGGTTTTCCCCACAGTCCAAAGACATGCAGTGTGAAGCCTGGTTTATACTTCTGCGTCAAGTAATCGGCGTGACCCACAGCGCCTGCAACGCGCCTAGCTGAGCATTGAAATTTCAACATCAATGCTCTAAAATGGAAAAAAGTCACTTTAACCATTCACCGGAAATAAATCAGTATGAAAAGAAACATTAGCTCTGCAAATATCCTAGGTTATTTAGACATTGGCTGCTTATTAGTACTTATAAAGCACATATTCTGTACAATAATAAATGCAGGGTTTCACATAATTCATTCATGTTGTCCCAACAAAAGTTGATTATGTTAACTTAACACTTTTAACAAATTTATGTGGATTGAACATAAAAAAGTTAAGTTGTCCAAATGAAATCTCAAGAATTGTGTTGTTTAAGCTCATTTTAATTAGGTAGTTTGAACAAGTTAAAAAAAAAAAAAAAAAAAAAAAAAAAAATATATATATATATATATATATATATATATATATATATATATATATATATATATATATATATTGAGTGTATGATCTTATTCTACATCTCTCCTACCCACTTCCTAAACTACCTTAATAAGGAGCAAATGAGGTGTTTCTTGAAGCAAAAGTCATAGTTAATGACTTGCTAAGACTGAGAATTGAACCTTAAAATAAATTGTAACCAAAAACGCTTTCCAAATAGTCCTTTTTAATCATTTGCTAGGATTGTATAGATAGTGTATTGCAATATATATCACAGAAAGACTAAATATCGCAATTTTTCCAATATCGTGCAGCCCTTGTATGATTTTTTGTTATTAAAAAAACGATTAACTCTTTATAGTGGCGGGGGGACATTTTGCAATTGTTTGAAACTGTATGAAGCCTGTTTCAGATACATCTTCCAACACCAAACTGAGGTGCATTTCCCAAACAATGACATAACTCACGGCTGAGCTATCATAGTACGATGCATCGTTTGGGAAAAGAACGATGCAGAGACGAGTGTTTCCCAAAACGCAAAGTTTCTCTGTCGCAGATCCATCGCTTAAACCATGTTAGTTATAACGTAAATCGCCCACAATGACGCTCTGAACGGGGCGGAGGAACTACATCATTAGAGAAGAACCCCATCATTTCTTTGTGCAAATTATATTGTTTTACACAAACAGGCAATTAAAAAAAGTCCGATATTAGTTTTGGTAAAATCACGCACTCGCTTTCCATATTAACCGAATTATATGTAAATGCCACATATAGAGCCTATGTTTCCTTTACAAAATTGAGAATATGACATCTCCTATTCCAAAACTATATTCTAATATCATATATCAATCATATGAATAAATAAATAATGAGGCTATTTATTAAGAAATGAAATTTAATATTTATTAAACATTAGGAAAAGAAAAAAATCCTAATTTAATAATATTAATATTAATAATACTAATGATGATCATGAGGATGATGATGATTATTATTATTTTGTTATTATGTGTTAACAATGAAAAAAACAATTTTATAATAATATTAACAATATTAATGATGATGATTATTAGTATTATTAGGTAGGGTATTGTTTATATATTTAAGTCTACTTTAACAATTTGACAGTTGTAAACCACAGCAGAAAGTTCTAACCAGCAGGTCCATGTCATATACAGTACAGATACTTAATAAATAACCTACTATAAATTAAAATAATTAATGCATGCTTTTTGTTTTCACAAGCTTTGGAGACGTTACATAAATTCCTCTTTTATAATAATAATCCCTAATAATAATAGGTCACCTATAGCTTAGCTTTCGCCATGAGGCGGTGTTCAAAATGATATCAATGTTTTCAAAGTGCACTGCGAAGGGAGCACAATTGTAAACATGAAGATCGCTAAAACTGAACTGTAAAAATAGTTTGAAAGCAAATTACACTCAAGGGAGATGACCTTAATGCTTTTTTATTTTTAATAATTCCAACTTTGAATGTTAGAAAGTTCTAAATGAATTGGGCATGGGGGGATAAGTGGGAACAGCACACAGCCAGGAACTGTTTCTAATGACAGCTCCAGAGCTGTAGTTGCGAGTGCTCAAGTTTGCGACGCAGTTTGCGAATGTTCATTGGAGCGACGGTTTTGGGAAACGGCAAATCAACAAACTATGTTTGTAACGACGGAACTTGCGACCTTAGTTGGCTAACGATGGTTTTGGGAAACGCATCCTTGAACGGCAGTGTACCAATTATAACCTGTTATTCAATCGTTTGCATTTGCAATTGTATAGATACAGTATTTTTCACTGTACACAAGTAGATAGATATGCAAGTAGATACGCAATTTTCCAATATCGTGCAGCCCTAGTATGAACGCATGATTAATATATTTTATTAATAAAAAAAAAGGTGAATTCCTTATAGTGGCAGGGGGAAACGTTCCAATTATTTAAAGCTGTATGAAACCTCTTTCAGATACATTTTTCAACCTACCTGAATGGCAGTGTACCAATAATAAACCACTACTGTAGGCGAGAGCACAGCACAAAGTAACACTTTTGGGTTTTGGCTAAATAATGAACAAAGTATTGGGGTTAGACAAACCATTTGTTTTTTACCAACAACACATAAGCCTCTCCTACAAATGAGCACTGGTTGTATGATCGCCGGACTTCTGGTTTCTATGCACTATTGCCAAAAGTGCCAGGAGTATAAATGTTACTATTTACCCCACCTGCGGGGCAAGTTGTAACAGATAGAGGGTTAGTTGTAACACGTGATTTAAAAGGCAGATTTCACACAAGTAATTTAAATCCAGTTTACTTTGAACAGTAGCTATATTTCTTCAGTACTTATCTCAATTTATTTTTAATTCTACATAGCACAGTATGTTCATTTATTTATTGGATAAACACATTTGGATTTGTTTAGAATATTATCCATTATTATACAATGCATTTATTTGTAGTATTGGCAATAAAACATTTTTTTTTTGTCGATTAAAAATATTTTCTATTGAAAACATGGTAACACTTTACAATAAGGTTCATTAGTTAATGCATTTACTAACATGAACTAATCATGAACAACACATGTACAGCATTTATTAATCCTAATTGAACATTTACTAATGCATTATTAACATCCAAGTCCATGCTTGTTAACATTAGTTAATGCACCGTGAGTTAACATGAACTAACAATGAACTACTGTATTTTCATTAACTAACGTTTACTAACATGAATAAATACAGTAGTAGATGTATTGTTCATTGTTTGTTCATCTTAGTAAATGCATTAATTAACATTAACTAATAAATTTTATTGTAAAACGTGACTAAAAACATTTTATGTAAAAAGTTTTAAAGATTACACTCAAAATCCAAACAATATTTTCTTAGTTTAGTTGGTGTCCAACATTGCGTGACTTATTTGTAACCGCCTGTTACAACTAACCCCGTTTGATACATCTTTTAAAATGGTTTCATCTTTTAGACTAGAAGACGGTAATCACAACAATATAAGACTTTACGTTCATACTTTTACAGATATTTTTAAAATAAAAAATATTGACTAATAAAAAATACTTATATGCTGCAAAAATGGTTTCTCCTGTGTTTCTCATTCAAATTACATCAAATGCGTTCATACTAGGGCTGCACGAAATTGGAAAATTGCGTATCTACTAGCATATCTATCTACTTGTGTACAGTAAAAAATACTGCATCTATACAATTCCAGCAAACGATTGAATAACAGGTTGTAATTATCACACTGCCGTTCAAGGATGCGTTTCCCAAAACCATCGTTAGCCAACTAAGGTCGCAAGTTCCGTCGTTACAAACATAGTTTGTTGATTTGCCGTTTCCCAAAACCGTCGCTCCAATGAACATTCGCAAACTTGAGCACTCGCAACTACAGCTCTGGAGCTGTCATTAGAAACAGTTCCTGGCTGTGTGCTATTCCCAGTTATGCCCTTCTTCAATAACTGACAGGAAGACGTCTGCCGACAATGTGGTAAAAACCTCTGAAGCATGCCATGGTCAACCCTGAGCGAACACCTTAAAACTCTGTGTTACATTTAACCCCGCGTTACTTTGTGCCCCGCGCTCCCCTAGTTACATCTCGGTTTAGCAAAAGATTTGTCATGTGTGCACGAGTACAGCTCTCCAACACACTACAAACATCTCACTTGGCTTTCCCAGAGGTCAAAATTCTACTACTATTCGGTTTTTATGCAGCCAGCAACATGTCAAAGCATGAAAGGCAATTATAAATATCACATAAAACATGACAAGTGTGACTGACTGAGGGTGATATTATATGGAAAACGTATTAAAAATAGAGTTTTAAAACACACACACCACACTACATAAATTCCCATTGATTTCTTCATCGCATTGTACACATGCTATTTGATACAGGCTTTATCTGATTTCTGTTGCTTGCGTCTAACCCAGGCTCTCTCACATGCACCCACATACTGAAAAGGCAAGCTCAGCCCCTCAGCGGCAACCTGGTTTCTATACTCAGAACATGCTGAGCTGATATCTAGGTTTATGGAGAATATTATCTCCAGAAGTGCAGAACACGACTTGAAATAAAACGCACTACAGTGATACAGGCTTGCAGTGTACACGTGCATTATTTAAGAGCATCTACATTGCAACTAATGCTACGGCATGTAACCAGTAGAGGTGAAGTTGGCTTAATATTCGCACATTCGTTCATTTAGAAGTCTCTATATTGTTTGCCATGTTACTTTAAATATTCGATCGGAATTAGCATGCATGACTTGAAATCGACAACAATACTGTTTATTTGACTGTGAGCAATGTTGTACTTTGATAGTCATTTGCTGCTATTATGATTTCGCTATTTAGAGTTTGCAAATAACACATTTATGAAATTATATTATTAAGGGGAAAGTCTGAATGTGCGAATATAGAACCAACTTTACCTATGAAACCATCAGGTTTTAACACAATGATTGCACTCACCCTGGGTGGTGCTCCAATCCAGTCCACCCACAAACAGCTTCCTGCAACAGAAAGATGAGGGAACGTCATAATGCATTCATGTTCATTCAGAAACCAACATGAGTCAAGGTGAAGGAGAAAAAAAAACACGTTTGCCCTTGGCACTGGAAGCCTGATCTGACTGATCTGTGCGGTTTAACGGGTCATAATCATACAGTCAAATAATCCAGACCCACTCCGAAAGCTTCTCATGAATGAGCTGGTATACAAAATCTAATGTCATCTGCTGCAGGCTTGGTCACAGGATAACACTGTGCATGAGAAAGTCTTATTTTAGTTAGATTATAAATACTTTAAAGCGTAAAAAAACCTTCCAAAATTACTGTTTGAATAAAAAGAGTGATGTAAAGCTCAGGTTTGTGATCACAAACCTAAATAATAACAAAAACTCCTCCAAAATAAAGCATACAGATTGAATGAAAGGGATATTAAGCTCCAGTTTTTTGTTTGTAGAACTTACATTATACACAGACAGTGATATAATACTCCTGTTTGTGTATAAGAAACTTGCAGAATAAAGAGAGTGTGCTACACAGCCCCGGTATCAGAGCTTTGACAGCTGATCCTTCTCGCCAGTTTATCTTCTGCTTCGTTATTCAAGCATCTAATCAGTTAAATGTACCGAGAACATGTTGTCCTCGTGCTCTACATATTTAAGGAGTTTGCTGCTGCTCCGGTGTGAGTGCGGTGCGGTGCGCGGAGGACTGGTTCGCTGGTATCTGCTGTCCTCCGGGCGGCCCGCTGCGCATCTTTCTCCGCTGGAACGGGACGAGTGTGAAACATCCAAACAGTGTCATGTAACACATCGTGTCTTACCCGATTTCATCTCCAGCTAAGTTGCTGTTCATCTCCGTGGCGAGGGTTGTGGACGGGAGTGCTGACATGGGTCCGCTCGCTCGGTCTCCTGCCGGTCTCCGCCGCCCGGGAAGGTCACACTCCGCTTTCGGTTCAAACCGAATCTGCGCAACACTGACGCGAGCCACGGGGCGCCCCAGCAAGGGCGGTGCAATGACAGAAGGGCATGCTGGGAAACCGAGTACACTTAAGGCTTAAGAACAAAAAGAGGGCTTTGATACGCTAGAAATATTGACCTCGTAGTTTTATCTCTGTTTTATTTCAAAAGTTTACAAATATGTAAACTAAAAACTAATAATAATACAAATTATGATCAAATATTTATAAAGATTGTGGGTGACATTTGTACATTTTGTGTCCTCAGAATGTGAGAATTATTTTATCTATATCAGTAAAAAATAATAGCATCTTTATAAATAAAACAGTACTATAGGCTACGGTGAATTACGGTTTTTGATTACGAAAATGGCATTCAAGAGTTCACACTTAGCTGATGATTGATTATAAGCAAGTTTGGCATGCTGTCCCGGGAGAGAGCCCTGAGCTCGAAGGTTCTTGAGCCCTGGGCTCCCTCCCGTTTGGAGGAAGAGAGGGGAGCCTCGAGCTCAGGTAGATCTCGACAACTCCCCTTTTTATAATAGCTAAAGATTAAGATTGAAGGCTATTAAAAGATATGCTGCATTATTAGATTACCTGTATTGAAATTTAGATTTAACGATTAACTTGTTGTACATGTTTTTGGAATGTGGGAGGAAACCGGAGAACCCGGGGAAAACCCACGCAAGCACGGGAAGAACATGCAAACTACACACAGAAACGACCACCGGCCTGTTAAGGAACTAGAACCGGTGACGTTCTTGCTGTGAGGCGACAGTGCTAGTCACTGAGCCACCGTGCTGCCCTATGGAGGGAAAGGTGAAAAGGTAGGGGTGGAAGGGGGGATTCTTCAAATCGAAGATGACTGTAGTGAGAAAACCCTGGCTCTTTATAGTGGTTAGGAATGGCCTGATTGGTGGATCAAGCATGCTAATGCAGGACCAGCCGTGTTCAATCATAATCACGTGCTCCTCTCGAAATTAGTTTATGAATAAACTTCACTTCAAGAGTTCACACTTAGCTGATGATTGATTATAAGCAAGTTTGGCATGCTGTCCCGGGAGAGAGCCCTGAGCTCGAAGGTTCTTGAGCCCTGGGCTCCCTCCCGTTTGGAGGAAGAGAGGGGAGCCTCGAGCTCAGGTAGATCTCGACAACTCCCCAAAATGCTCCGCTCGGGACAGCAGCCGCGTATTTGAAGAACCCCCCAAAAGGCACAGGAGATTAATGCCATATCCGGCTGCTGAAAAGTGATACAGAAATAGCTTGGAGGAGCAACAGAGACTGGTGTGGGTGTAAAAATTAACTGAAAGTGCTTATGTATGACTATGTGTGCTCCCGGGTTCTGTTAATTGTAAGGACCAGCGGGAGAGTGAGTGGGGTAAGTGTAAAGGTTTAAAACATATGTGGTGAGTTTCGTAAAGGTTTAGTATAGTAGTGATGGAAAATAAAGCTGTAAGGTTCTGCGGAGCTGTAGCTGCAGATGAGAAGCGGTTAACTGATTAACCGCTTTGGCAGTCCAATGGGGAGTGTGTCAGTAGTGGTATGGATAAATGGTAGTGTGCGTGAGCTCCGGTGGAGCGACACTGCTGCAGCAGTGGTGCAGGGGGGATGAAGCTCGGCTGAGCGTCTCTGCGACTGCAGAGGTGCGATGGTAGTCAGTACTAAGGGGAAGAATACGCTTCTGCAGCAGCGTTTTAACTGCTTTAGCAGTGCTGGGAGTGACAGAAGTGGTATAAGTGTAATGGAAGTGTGCATGAGCTCCAGCAGAGCGTCACTGCTGCAGCAGTGGTGCAGGGGATGTAAATGATGCTCGGCTGAGCGTCTCTGCTGCTGCAGAGGTGCAATGGAAGTCAGTATTTGTAAGGGAAATACGCCTCCGCAGGGACGTTTAACTGCTTTAGCAGTGCTGGAGAGTGTATCAGTATTGGGTTGCTAAATGAAAGTGTATATGCGCTCGCTGAGCGTCACTGCTGCGGCAGTGATGTGGAGGGGAGTGATGCTCGGCTGAGCGTCTCTGCGACTGCAGAGGTGCGGTGGTAGTCAGTCCTAAGGGGAAGAATACGCTTCTGCAGCAGCGTTTTAACTGCTTTAGCAGTGCTGGGAGTGACAGAAGTGGTATAAGTGTAATGGAAGTGTGCATGAGCTCCAGCAGAGCGTCACTGCTGCAGCAGTGGTGCAGGGGATGTAAATGATGCTCGGCTGAGCGTCTCTGCTGCTGCAGAGGTGCAATGGAAGTCAGTATCTGGAAGGTAAATACGCCTTCGCAGAGACGTTTAACTGCTTTGGCAGTGCTGGAGAGTGTATCAGTAGTGGATTGCTAAGTGGAAGTGTATATGCGCTCGCTAAGCGTCACTGCTGCGGCAGTGATGTAGAGGGGAGTGATGCTCGGCTGAGCGTCTCTGCGGCTGCAGAGGTGCGGTGAAAGTCAGTTTCTAAAGGGAAGTGCGCTTTGGAGAGCTGATTAACAGCTGTGTAGCAGATAGGAATCAGACACAGTAGAGCGACTCTGTGGCTGCAGGGGTGCATAGGTATTCAGAGTCTGGTGCATTATATGTGTGAAAGCAATACATGTTCCCGCTAAGCCTTTACAGCTGTATTATAGCGGGGAGTGTGGTGATGGAAAATAAATTGATACTACAATGCAATGTAATTAAGTGGAGCTGCTGTAAAGGTGTGATGGTGGTCAGTATGTAAGCAATACGAGTTCCCGCTAAGCCTTTATGGCTGTATTGTTGCGGGGAGTGTGGTGATGGAGAATAAATTGATGCTACAATGCAATGTAATTAAGTGGAGCTGCTGTAGAGGTGTAATTGTAGTCAGTATGGAAGCAATACGAGTTCCCGCTACGCCTTTACGGCTGTATTATTGCGGCGGAGTGTGATAATGGTAAAATTTTTTGAAAAGTGTACATGTGAGCTTTTAAAGAGCTTCACTGCTGTGGCAGTGGGAGCTTGGGGCTACCCCTGTGGGAGTCCGAGCTGCGGAGAATGAGTGCAAGTGAAATTAAAAAATTATGAAGAGAAAGAGAAGGGAAGTTTAATAAAATAAAAAGGAAAGTTTAGTAAAAATGAGTCCTATGCAACTAAGACAGAAAGTAGGAAGAACAGACAGAGTCATGCTGCTTGGAAACTAGGTTGAAGTCTGCAACCGAGAATCAGCTGGGCTTCTCTGAGGAAATATTGGCTGAGGCAAATTGAGGATTTAGAGGTGTTAGAGGACCAATGACAGAGTTTATATCTGTTGTTGGAAGACTGTTCAGGCAGGGTGTCACTGCTGCAGCATTGGTGCAGGGGAAAAAATAATCTCAGCAGAGCTTCTCTGCAGTTACAGAAGTGCAATAAAATCAGTGGTGCAGAGAATTAAGGCTAAACAGCCGTCTCTGCAGTTGCAGCTCAGGCAAAGCTTAACTGTTGCAGCAGTGGTGCAGAGGGAGAATAAGGCTCGGCAAAGCGTCTCTGCAAGAGCAGAGGTGCAGTGGTACTCAGTATTCGAGTCTCACATGGAAATACTAAGTACTATTAGCAGTGATATTTAGAGATGAAAGTGAAAAAGGGGCTCAGCTAGAGCGTCACTGCAGTTGCAGTGATGTTAATGGGGTGTATAGTTAAGTGGAGCACCTAAACAGTCGATATTAGTAAGTTTTGAGTGCTCCCGCAGGGACGTTAAATACTGCCTTTAGTGATATGTAAAGATGAAGGTGAATAAGGCATATGCTAGAGGGTCACTGCGGTAGCAGTGGTGCTTTGGGTGTGCAACTCTGCGGAGCATTTCTGCGGCTGCAGTGGTGTAGTGGGCCAGTATGGAGGCAACTTGTGCTCCCGCAGAAGCATTTACTGCTGTATTAGTGCGGGGAGTGCAACGATAGTGGTATTTAGAAAATTTGTAAGTGTATGCAAGCTCATTTAGAACGTTCCTGTTGCAGCAACTGAAACTCAAGACAACCCCTGAATTGGTCGGAGCTGTGGTGAATGAAAGTGAATAGAAGTATAGGATAGTTTAAATTTGGAGAGAAAAAGTTAAAGCTAGAAAAACAGGGAAGGGTAGTGAAGGAGCTCCTATGTTAAATAGGAAGGGAAATCGGAAGGAAATGACAGAGTCATACTTCATACCCAATAATGCATGATGGTGGAAGTTGGCTGGAGAGGATCGGCTGGGCTTCCCCGAGGTGGTATTGCTCTTCTGTGGTGTAAAAATGCTAAGAGGTTTAGAACCAGGGCCGGAGTGGGACACCTTTTCAGCTCTGGAGTTTCAAGCCTCAGACCGGCCCACCTCAGTTCACGACTGACTATATTAAAATAAGTAAATAAATATTTCCAAATCAGTTTCTAATGGCACTATCATGTTTTTTTTTTTTTTTTTTTTTTTTTTTTTTTTTTTTTTTTTTTTTTTTTTTTTTTTTTTTGAGAAAACAGCTGCTTTAGAACTTCAAATGTTCTACAACCCTAACAGTATTATATGTCTTATCAAAAAATGAAAACACTAAATTACTCTAGCAAGGATCGAACCCAGGTCCGCAGCGTCTTAACCTAACGTGCCAACCACTCGACCACAACAAAAGAGAAAAGTTGTGGTAAAATAATGAATAAAAAGCTGTGGTCAAGTAAATGAATTAAAAAAGTGTCACTGCTGAGAGCAACAGATTCTGGAGCTAGGGACACCGGCCCTCGCGGCCAAAATAAAACAGACCGGCCCACCGGGAATTCTCCCGGTCCTCCCGATTAGCCAATCCGGGCCTGTTTAGAACAGGTGTGTGGGGGAACGGATATCATCCTGCATCCCTTCATCCTGCGAAGATAGATCAGATATGGTTAGGTGTATCGTTGGATTGAAATGTCATACTTAGTTCAGAAGACTTAAATTATAAAGGCTAGTGTGAATATGGCATCGAGGGTGTGGGCTATGTGAGTGGAAAAGTGTCATTTGCAAAGAGTGTAAATGTATTTAGAAATGGATGTGGAGTGTAATAGGTTGGATGAGGGTCAGCTTCTGCAACCAGCTGACATGATCTCTGAAATGAGAAAAACAAGAGAG